TACTTATACTTATTTAAGGCCTATAAAAGGATTTACTCTATCTTCTATATATTTAAGCTAAAGCTATATTATTAGTATAATAGTTATAATAAGCCTCTATTATAGCTAATTAAAGTAGAAGGTAAGGAGGAGTAGAAAGTAGATAAAATTTTAAATTATTAAATTAATAAAAATAAAAAGATATAATACTTAATTATATAAAAAGAATACTTATTATATAAGGCATCCTAATAGTCTAGAGAGGACCTAAAGAATACTTAAGAGATATTAAAAGACTTCCTAAAATAAAACTCTTCTTTAAAGTCTATACTTTAATAAGGGTATCTTAAATAAACCTAAAGTTTTTTTCTACTAGATTTTCTTAAGATATTATAGATATTAAATTAATAAAAATTTATTTACTTATTAATATAAACCTTCCTCTTTTTTTTTATAGGTTTAAAGGTTTACTAGTAATATCTTAATAAAATTATTTATAATTAAAGAAAACTACTATTATAAGGGTAATTATTATTTATATTAAGAAAACCTTAAACTAATATCTCTTTAGCTTATAACTTATTATCTAGTAGATCCTTTATCTCCCCTATAGCTACTATAAGCTCTTAAACTGCCACTATAATATCCTATAAGGTAATTAAAAGTAGCTAAGATATAGGTGCTAATATTATTAAAGTAGAAGCTACTAAAGTTATATTAATAATAGAGGGTTAATTTATTGCCGCCACTAATTAAAGTTAATACTAATAAATATTTATATTAGTCTTTTAAATATAGATATTTAACTAAAAGGCAACTACTATAGCTATATCTAAAATATTAAGTATAATAAAGACTTTATAAAGATATTATACTTCCTAATTAAAGGTATTACCTTAGATATAGTCTACTATATAAGTAGTATTACTTATAATATAATAAAGATACTAGGTGCTTATTAATATAAAATAGATATATTAAATAAAGTACTCTATATTTATAATATTAATATAGTATATATATTAGAGCTAATTAAAAGTATTAAATACACCTCCCTAAATAAGGATAGCTATATATATATTTATGTCCTAAGTAGTCTTTATAATCTTAAATTTAACTAGCTTTAAACTAGGGGTAAAATAGCTATTATAGATAGACTTAAATAAGCTACTAAGAAGCTAGATATAATAAGTAAGAGGTATTTTCTTAAGAATTTTATTATTAAAAAAAGTAGCCTTTTAAGCTAAGTAAGCTAAAGAGAGATTATTTATCTTCTCTAAATTATTACTAAATAAATATAATATTAAGGTTAAGGAAATAAAATAAGGGGTAGAATAAAATATTATCTTCTTATTATTAGTAGCCACTACACACTAAAACTATTAAAAAATAATAAGTTAATAAGAAATAAGTATTTATTTTATAGATTATTATTATATACTACTAAAAGATTAATAAAATAAGGGAATAGTTATTAAGACAACTTACTAGGGCATAGATAAGAAGGAATTAAACCTATTTTATCTAATTAGCTCCTAATATCTTATTATTATTAAGGAAAAGGGGCTATATATACTAAGAGACCTTATTAAAAAGCTAAGAAATAGAAATTAAATTATATAAGGTAATAGTATTTATACTCTAGTACTTAATAAATATAGACCTTATTTTATTTACTTAATCTATAGAAATACCCCCCCTTAATATATTTAACTCTTACTTATACTCTTTATTTTTTTATTAATAAACTCTTATATTTAATATTATATCTATATAGTATTTAATTAAAGTCTATTTATAAAAATAACTATTTTTTATTTATTTTTATAATAGCTTAGGGCTAAGCCTCTTAAAGAGGGGGAATAATTATAAGGCTAGCACTAATACCACCCTATAAGTTATCTAATTAAGTATATTATATAATTATTAGTTAATATTAGGTATTAATTAGGCACCTATTAAGTACCTTATTTAGAGTTAGGATATATACTATCCCTCCTAGATAAAATAGAACCTTAAGTACTTTATCTTATTCTCTTACTAGACCTTTTATAGACTTCTTATATCCCTAAACCTTGCTGTTACCTAGTTGTACTGACATCCCACCTATCAACCCCAAGCAGTGCGAGGTCATTGCTTACAAACGGCCCGGATCCCACGTCGTCGCCGGCGTCAATGCCCCTGAGATGGCATCAACGCCAGGCTAACAACGCGAATCTCCGGGGCCAACGGCCTGGATCCCATGTTGTCGGCAGCATTAACGCCTCCAAGATGGCATCAACGCTAGGCCAACAACGCGAATCTCTGGGGCTAACAGCCTGGATCCCACGTCGTCGGCAGCGTCAACGCCCCTGAGATGGCATTAACGCCAGGCCAACAACACAAATCTCTGGGGCTAACAGCCTGGATCCCACATCATCAGTAGCATCAACGCCCCTGAGATGGCATCAACGCCAGGCCAACAATGCGAATCTCTGGGGCCAACGGCCTGGATCCCATGTTGTCGGCAGCGTCAACGCCCCCAAGATGGCATTAACGCCAGGCCAATAATGTGAATCTCTGGGGCTAACAGCCTGGATCCCATGTTGTTGCTGGCGTCAACCCCCCTGAGATGCCCCCTAGAGCACTAATCAACGGCATCTAGCATATTAATATGCTAGTTAATGGCCCCTGGTGCCCCTGCTGATCCCCCTGCTCCCTCTATATATCCACTGGCCCCAATTGGGCCCCAATTATGTAAACAAACGCTCCCGGGCCCAGAGTCTGCTGGGGGAGAGCACTTTTTATATGGCGTGAGCCCACCTGGGCGTCATTTGCCATATAAAGTGGGCCACCTAGACTTGCCCACTTTCCACGCAGCTAGGGGCCTTAGCAGATTCAACGCTGTGGGCAACTAGTGACGTCAAGCACCGGGGGCACCGGGGCACCTAGGCCACGTCGAGATATGGGCAACTGGCGACGTCGAGCACCGGGGGCACCGGGGTATTAGGCATATTAGGATATAGATATAGGATATAGGCCAACTGGCAAAGGAATTCCTTTTTTTACTATATTTATTGCTTTTTTATTGCTGTTTTTATTATAATAAATTTTTTATGGCCCCGATACTTTTACTAAGCCATATAATTTATTAGTAATCTGAAAATTTCAACCCCCAAATTATATTTCAGATGACTAAGCCAAAAATCGTTGAAATTTCATGAAATGAAATTTCATCGACCCACCCCTGGCTGTAACCAGATGCAAACCACGGCCGAGGGTCAGTGGCTTCCTCAGCGAGGCGCACAGCGCGGGTAATTAACTAGCCAAACTAATTGATTGACTCAGTAATGCAGTTAGAGGGAAATGGTGCAATAACCCGCGTTAGCCTTATAGGCAATTCATAAGGCCATCCTCAGTGGCCTTCTAACTCATCGTGCAATGGAACACTAGATGGGACCTAGCGAAGTCGACTTTTGACCGTTGCTATAAATAATAGATCACACTTTTAGCCGTTCAACGTGTGGCGGAGTGCAGATGCCAAGACACTAATTATTTTAAATAGACTAAGTCCACCTAATGATGTTCTGCCATAGTTCAGCTGAAGGGATCAGTGCGACGGTCGCGCGGTGAGGGTGATTCTCACCCGCTCTCACCCAGATTCTCACCCTGTCTATTGCGCACTCACCCCATCTCACCCTGGTTGCGCGACTGTAAAGTGGCGCTCACCCTAAACTCACCCGGGCGGCAGCCACCCGACTATCTGCCGCACATAGGCCACACGCCGGTAGGTTAGTAGTTGGGTGGGTGACCACCAGCGAATCCCTACTGTTGCATGTTTTTTTATACTTGGCCGTTGATTGTTTTGATACATTTTTTGTCTTGTATTTCTGTTCCATGGGTATTGAAGTGGTGTGGTATGCTACATAGAAAACTCCACGCCACTATACTGTACTCTTTGTAGCTGTAGGCATCGAGGGGCGATTCGGAGGGACTCTCACGTATTGCCTAAGGGACGTGTAACAATAGATACCAGAGGACGCTATATGCAGTCTTATAGGCTGGTTGCGAACCTAGCCTACCACCAACATATACCTAGAGATCCTGTATTTCCAAATATTTCTTGGAGAGATACTCTATAGTCATGTAGCATATAATAGCATATATCAAATACTGGTATGGTAGTTGATTAACTGAGGTATAGGTAGATGAAATGAGGACACTTGAGTAATCATCAATACTAGCAGGAATATTGGATTCCGCGTCCAAGTTTAGAAAGGATAGCCAACTATGGGTGTCTACCATATACAAAGTACATCTTGGCATATTGATGCACACTCAAATCATATAATTCCTTGCGCATCTTAGCACCCATAACAGTCGTCTCTTCCTCTGACCAGCCCAGCACTGTCGTCAGGATCCCTAGGAGAAAGGAACCTATTGCCTGGGTCTGCTGCAACTGCATAAATAGCCCAATGTTCTTCTGTTTAGGGTCCTTTGGCCATGGGTTGATAGGAACTTTTATCATCTTGAGCACCACATCGACAAAGCCTGCAGATCTAAGGGCGTCAGGCCACGTCGTTTCAATCTTGCCCATCGGCTTGCCGAATTTCGCACTCGCTTCCTTGGCTAGCTCGCACATCTGCGCTGTAAACGGCCCCCTTTCGTTCAAGGAATCATCGTCAGAGAATATATCCAATGCCAATGCCTGCAGTTCAAAGTACCCACCGGCCCTAAGGTTATTGAATGCCTGTGTTGCAAGCCGGTTGACATCCTTGATAGCTCCATCAAGCTCGCGACCATGGATGTAGTCAAAAGGGCGATTGTATCCCCATTCAGCTTCGAAATCATCGACCTCGAAGACACAGTTAGGGGGCAGCCTGTAGTCTTAGTATAGATGGACTTTAACCAATAGATCAATATTGTTCTTACCAACGGGGTTGAATGGGACTCAGGTCGTTTCCAATCACCTCTGCAGAGGGATACATGCTACTTGTGTAAGCCTCATACCTCAAGCAAAGAAGATCGATCATATTATACTCTGCAAAATCTATCGCCCAGATGCCTGTTCCGGTGCCAATGCCCAACACACGGCCTAGAGTATCTCCCTTGACTGGAGCCCGGTGCAATTCCCCGCCCAGGATCATGCCGTAGATATGGTGCAGAAAGTCCATGCGGTCTTGTTCCTCGTCATCATTTGGCTATGCAGTTAGTAGAGTAGAGTATATGAGAAATGAGCATCGACTTACAAACAAGTATTGGCCCTTTCGGTAGCTCTGGTACCGGCGGCCATTTTCATACCTTCAAATTATGATTGACACTAGCAATAGTATAAGACAATGAAAGAAAAAAAAACCCCCCCTCACTCATATTCGAGCACGCTGGACCGGAGCGAGGTATAATCAGTTCCAGCAGAAGACAGGGAGACGTTATCACTGTCATTCTGGGGATCATCAGGCTCAGCTACTGGGTTCCCGGTTTTGGGGCTGGTGGAAGCCATGCTGGGAGTTACATGAGAAAGAGGAGAGCTGGATGCTGGGGGTTGGAGAACAGGCCATGGATATATAGGCAGTCCGGTTGCACCCGCTAGCAATAGCACTAGACAGACCATTAACCAATTGCTCTCAATTACGAGTCATGACACGCTTCAATGGAAGGATACTCCCATATATCCTAGCAGATGCCACGTATCCTGGTATAGTACCTTATATTATATGTGGGATGGATAAGAACTCCATCCGACTACGGGTGAACACACTGTAAATATATACATCTGCGTGGATGAAGGGACACATCTTGATACTGCTCAGCTTCTTATTACCAGGATCCCTTTAAGTATCTCTGGTTAATTCATGTCCAATCCAAAATATATTCATTGTACAGGCCCCGGTCATCGAGCGTGTCCTGGCACCAACCTGGCTGAGCCAGATGAGCTTCTAGACATCCTCGCCCACGGTAAGCTAGGGTTTACAGAAGTTGTATCCATACTTGATGGCAACCAGTGGTATCAATTAGGCAGCTCTTGAAAGAGAAGACGTCGAAGACTGCGTAAACTATATGGCACAATTACCTGATCAGCCACATGACCAGTAGATGACCATGACATGAATTGTATATTATAAAATATAATGTATTAATATTAAAGTATTAAAATAAATAGTGTAACTCTATATAGAGTTTATAATATCAGTATTAATAAGTAAACCTTTCTAATTAACTATTAAGCTTCTATTAAGCTTTCCCAGGCAAAGCATAACTACATTCTAACCATAGAATCAAGTGGTGCACAGTAGATTCTTAAATAACCTATTTAATTAAAGAATTTATTCTAAAAATAAAGATATGATAATATAGAGTATATAGATAGAAAATTTGAAATAATCACTAAATATTATATCACTCACTATTGGCGTCTCTTATACAAGCATAAAACCACTGAAACATACGCCAGCCAAACCACGCCCGCAACGACACTGTATGCAATGACGGCCCCGGTGGGTGCAATTGAGCTTCCCACGCCAGCCAGACGGAAGCCCAGCCCCCCATTAATGATAGCCAGTGTGATGGCCGCGCGGCCGAGCCACCGGTGCGGATAGGCAAAGACGCCTTTCTTGCGAGTCCGACGGAAATATCGGTGCTGCAGCAGCCCCATCACCGGCTGGAACAGCGCCAGCGAGCAGACGACCACCATCCCGATGATGGGGTGATAGAACTGCAGCAGATGTAGGCTCTGACCCATCGAGAGGCCAATCCCCATCCCAGCAATAGCCAGCGACAGCGCCAGCAGCTGCACTCCCGCGTGTACCACCACGATGTGCGGATAGGGCACCAACCGCGGCAGAAAGGCACCCGTGGGCAGCAACACCACAAACACCAAGATCATGAGCACGGCGTGGGCGACTCGGCGCGTGTGTACTGCCGCCAAGTTGACGGCCGAGATGCTCTGTCCGGCACTTGAGTCTGTAGAATCATTCACAGGAGATGAGCTGCCAACGAACGGGTTGTCCGAGGTGCCCCCCGTCGTCCGGGAGAGGTCCAGCGCTGCCACGCCCGACATATCGTGGATGGCGATCACAACAGACACGCTGTCGGACACGAGCGGACTGCCATATTTCACAGCCCAAATCCACGGACTCGCTGTGTTATGGACGTCTTCCTGCCCTCCCGGCCAAGAGAGGCAGCTGTCGCAGCGGATGTTCGCCGTCATGGCGCCCGTGCTGCTGTTGATACCGCTGCCACCCAGCAGTGCCACGCGTGCCTGGGGATTATACAGCGGCATTACGTGCTCCACGCCCAGTCGCGGTGAGACGGTGACGTTGTGGCCGTCTGGGGCGGTATAGACGAGCATGATATTGGCGCCCTGCATCTGGGCGCCCTGGCCCCAGGCGAACCATGTCAGCGGGCGGAGGGAGTATAGCTGCAGGTATATTGGGCCAGAGCCTGTTGACGCAGTGCTTTCAGGGACATTGACGCTGTATGTGATCTCTTCCTGTCTAGGGGGTGTGAATGTTTGCACCTGGGCTAGAGTGACGGCAATAAACCAGAGCCAGAGCAGGACACTCATGATGATGTTTAGTGTCTCATTTACAGATGAATTATGAGTTGAAGTGGCCTCTATAATATATCTCTGGCTAGGCCTTATGATTCTCTGTCTATAATTGGTTCCTGATTCCAGAAACCCTAAATATCATATGATGGATAAACTTCCCTGCGCCTCCACTATCTACATATTGGGGAACTTTATCTGGCAAAATTACGAAGGTTATATGGCCGATAGTTTAATCATAGACCACTATTCTAGACCTAAGTCTGTAGTATTGCCTACTCTATAAACATCGGGTTTAGGTTCTATAGCAACATTTTTGTATCCAGCTAACTCTATAAAACATCAATTTAACTTTATGGGCCTAGGTATATATAGCAACATTCTTTATCATAGATTCAGCTAAGAATAGCATGTTATCAGTTGACACTAGGCAGCAAGACAAGGGCCACAAACTTGCTGATAGATAACCACGCGCAACAATCAAGGCGGATCTCAAGATGAGAATAGCCAAGTGTCTTCTTGTTCCTCTCGCGGGACTTGTCGCAGCATCCAACACGACGGAAGTCGACGTGGGCGAGGACGGCCTCACCTACAGCCCGGACACGCTCCACCTGAGCGCCGGTGATAAAGTCGAGTTCCATTTCTACCCCGGCAACCACTCGGTCGTCCAGGCGGCCTTTGATAGCCCCTGCCATCCCAAGAACGACACCAGCATCTTCAGCGGGTTCATCGCCACGACCAGCAATGAGAATGAATCAGTAAGCGAAGCCGCTCTTCATTCCCGGCAGTCTAACGGGTCTAGTCTACCGTGTTCACAGTGACGATCAACGATACGGACCCGATCTGGTTCTATTGCGGCCAGACGGGGCACTGCCAGGCGGGCATGGTCGGGGTGATCAATCCTCCGTGAGGACCAGAGATCCTACACAATGAGCAGTTATAGTGCACAGCTAACTGCGCAGCACTAATGGCTCGGACACGCTCTCAGCCTTCAAGGCGGCGGCCGCTGCGGTCAGTAGCCAGAGTGTGCCGTCTGTAGTCCAGGGAGGCGTGTACAGCACCGTCACCTCTGGGACGTCCAGTACATCTACTGCCAGTGAAAGCAGTGCCTCTGCGACCACTGCATCAGCTACGACTACGGAAGCAAAGACCTCTACTGCATCACAGACCATGACAGCCACTGCTACCAGCAGTCCTACTTCAACCAGTCCAGCAGACCGGCTGTCCTTATCAACAGACCTCACTATCCTTTCTATTCTTGTTTCCATAGCAGCTGTATTACTGCTGTAGCTCAGCTTAGGAAATCCACCTAAAAGTAACTAGGATAATGCAGTTATACTGAAGCAGAAATGGATTATAGTTAAAAAGTATTTCTAGTAATAAAATATATTCACAAATTGCAACCCTAGAGCAAAAACCATGAGAATGGATATATTTTTCTTCAACTTTTACAAGTCCAGCCCTATAGTCTATTATTCAGTGACGCAATGCGCAGCAATAACAAGTTATATATGGAGTAGCTTAGGGCTGCTGACGCAGGCTAATAGCCCCAAGCTAGTACGCGCTACAGAATAAGTTCTCCTAACTAGCTAGTAAATTATTAACTATAAGTACTAGTGAGAGAATTCTAAGGCCTTTAAACTAAGGTGACCTATAGCATAATTGCCTCATCACTATAGGGTACAGTCAGGCGTTTGATTTACATAATCCTCCTTATACAGCCACTAATACTCCAACGAGGAACATAATTCATTACTTAGCAATTAGTGGACACCACCATAAAAGGTGATGAAGAATAGATAAATGCTTAGTATCCCTAGACTGAGTGAATGGTTGTATAACCATTAGTGATATTACATCCCTCTTTATAAATATGATGGAAGACCTCCTCCCCCACACGTTCGACTACTACGCCCGCGTGCAGCCTGACGCCATCTTCGCTGAATATCCCCGATCCACGACCAGTTTCGCGGATGGCTTCCGCCCAGTCTCGTACCGGGCCATTGCCAACGCGATCAACGGCGTGGCCAACTACCTACTTGCTAATCTAGGCCGTGGAGACAATGAGATTCTAGCCTACATTGGGCCTAATGATGTGCGATATCCGGCTCTGGCAGTGGGAGCGTTGAAAGCAGGATACGTAGTGAGTCAATATATAGAGTCCCTTTGCCTCGTTGCTGAATGGGATAGATGTTCTTCAGCTCCCCCCGGAACAGCCTCATCGCCCACCAGAAGCTGTTTGAGAAGCTGAAATGCACCAAAATCCTCATTCCAACCCCTCGCCCACCTCAAGTGTCGGCCATCCTGTCTAGCATCTCCCTGGATATCATTGAGATACCAAGCGTGGACCACCTGCTGGACACGCCGCATCCTCATGTCGAATATCTCAAGACGTATTCAGAGCACCGAGCGGACCCGATGCTAGCACTGTACATCGCCCTATCTTATGTATCTTCACTGCTAACTCGTCAGGCATACTTCCGGTTCGACCGGGATTCCAAAGCCGATTGTCTGGACATTTGAACTTGCCATCCGACACATGAATATGGTGGCTATGGAAGTCCCGGACGGCTACGAGACGATCCAGTCCCTTTGGACTGGAAAACGCACATTTCTCGCCCTGCCGCCATTCCATGTAAGTATAGCTGGACTGGAGGTATAGTTATATGGTTCACTTACGTGAAAGGCCGCTGGAATCGCGATACTCCTGTTTGTCGGTCCTCCGGCTGGATCGACCTTGGTCTGTCCCCCGTCGGCCGGTTTGCCAACAGCAGTCGGGATGGTCGACGCCCTGCAGCAGACCGGCTTCTCTGCGGCGATATTGCCACCCACGACTGTAAATGAACTGGCGCAGAACGGAGACCTGCTGGAGAAAGCCAGATTGAAAATGGAGACCGTCATATATGTAGGCGGGGATCTCCCCCAGGCTCTCGGTGACCGGGTTGCTGCGTCGAATATCCGGCTCGCATGCCAGTACGGGGCCACGGAACAGGGCCTGCTGAATCTGGTGTATGCCCTGGAAGGTCGTGACAAGCGCACAGAGTGGCGATACGTGCAGTTCAACCCCAATCAGGGCGTTGAAATGCAGCCCATCACCGACACGGAATACGAGCTTGTCATGGTCCGGACACCAGAGCGAGAAAGATACCAACTCCCGTTCACGATCTTCCCTGACAGACAGGAATATCACACCTCGGACCTGTTCGTCCGGCATCCCGACCCATCCCAGCCGGATCTGTGGCGGTGGACGGCCCGCCTCGACGACGTGATTGTGTTTCTGACGGGGGAAAAGGTCAATCCATTGACAACAGAGCTCAACCTGGTGGCCTGGGAAGACTCAGTGGCAGCGGTGCTGGTCGTGGGCACGCAACGGTTCCAGGCAGCGCTGCTTGTAGAGCTGGTCAACCCGCCGGCAAAGGACGACCAGGCGGCTCACGACGCTGCCATCGAAGCCATCTGGCCGAGTGTTGTCAAGACGAACAGAGAAACACCGGCGTATGCACGCATCGCCAGAACGCATATCCTCTTCACGACGGCAGAGAAGCCGATGCTCCGGACTGCAAAGGGGACGATCCAGCGGGCGAACACGCTGGCGGATTACGCGCCGGAGATCGATGAGTTATACGCCGCTGCAGACAAAGTTATAGCTTCAGCTGGGCATTCCGGAGCTGTCGGAGAGGAAGTCATTGCAAAGACTGTCGCGACAGTCACCGGCTGGGATGTCGACATGGTCCGAGGCACCGACAACTTCTTCCTGGCCGGCCTCGACTCGCTGCAGGCCATCACGGCTGTACGCAGCCTCCGCCAGGCCTTGAACAGGCCTCAGCTGTCCACCGAGATGATCTATCGGGATCCGTCGGTGGCAGGACTTGTGCGTGCATTAATCACAGAAAAGACATCGGCTGAGGAGTCGCCCAGCACAATCCTCTCCCAACTCGAAGAACGCAATGCCCTGCTCGAAGAACTGCTGGACGGCATCCAGCAGCCAAAACATACTGTGCTCTTGACCGGGTCTACCGGCCAGCTGGGCACATATCTCCTCGACGTGCTCGTTCGCGATCCCCGTGTATCCAAGGTGCACTGTCTCAACCGGCGGGCAAACAGCGGCAGCATCCAGCAGCAGCAGAGTCGGAAATACCATCTCGACACACCGTTCGATAAGGTCAGCTTCTGGCATATTGATCTGACGCAGAAAGACACGTTTGGGCTTGCGCCGGAGATCTTCCACCGACTCCAGCAGACCGCAACGGTGGTGATCCACAACGCATGGCCCGTCAACTTCAACCTTTCGCTGTCGTCGTTCCGTCCCTCGTTGGAGGGAGTAGTCCATCTGGCTGAGTTCTGTGCCGGTGCGCCTCACCCAGCGCATCTTGTGTTCCTCTCGTCAATAAGTTCCGTGATGGGGTATCGCTCCGAGAATGGCATCACGCCGGAAAGAATCATCACGACCACCACGCCCGCGCCGAACGGGTACGCAAATAGCAAATATCTCTCGGAACATCTTGTGCAGCGCGTTGCCGAGCGGAAGAGGGTTCCAGCCTCCATCGTACGCATCGGCCAGGTCGCCGGTGCTGTGCGGAACCCTGGTCTCTGGAATCCCACCGAGTGGCTGCCTGGGATCGTGCTGAGCTCGCTGCATCTCGGCGCTGTGCCGGAGTCAATAGGATCAGAACTCGACCGGGTTGAATGGGTGCCTGTCGATCTGTTGGCCGAGGCGATAGCAGACTGGGCGCTGTCGCCGCCCTCATCTCCCACTGTCGATGTCTGGCATGCGATCAACCTCCATCCGAAGGAGTGGGCAGAGATCCGGGCAGTCATCGCCGAGTCGTTGTCCGTTGCCTCTGGCAGGCCGGTAGACACGGTTTCGTTGGCAGAATGGGTGCGGAGGGTCCGCCAGGATCTGGATGAGAGTCTCGACCTACAGCAGGCCTTGAGCAAGAACCCGGCAGGCAAATTGTTGGCCTTTTTGGATGATATTGCAGCAGACCCGGAGCGGCCAGCGAATGCCCTCGACACGGCGCGGACGGCAGCAGACAGTGAGAAGCTGCGGGCGATAGACGGAGTCAAGAAGGAGTGGATTCAGAAGTGGGTGAAGGAGTGGCTGCTCAATAAGACATTACTATGAATAGAGAGTGGTCGAAGTATCAGGACAATACTGTATATATATATATAGTAGTATTTCTATCTGCAATTCTGAGCCTGGGATCGTCATTCTATTGAGATAATATAATGATCATTGTCGCATTTTTTTTATTTTTAGAAATAAATAACTCTTCTATATTTAATAATTTAAATGGAAATCAACTAATGCATTGCAAGTTGTAGACCTTCCAGTGAATAATAGACATTGGGAATTCAAGGAACTTGAATTCCGATGAGAATAACACCTTATATAGCAGATGTGTTGAATTCTACTACCTAGGTGAATATTTACTACCTAGGTGAATATTTACTACCTAGGTGAATAGCTTAAGATAAACACATATAAATCTTTTGCCATTGCTGAATTCTATATCTAATTATATTATTCATGATCTTTCCTGCAATCGGCAATTCGGCTATTGATGACTCGACCGGTTATGGCTATCGTGACTATAGGCCCACTAACGCGGGGTAGTTTAAATGGAGAATTTATTGAGCCGGAATAGCAAGAATTGGGCATCAAATATCACAAAATGAAGTCTGTTATTCTGCAACACTTTGCGCCCTGTTCGAAAGAGACGGAGCAGCAGCGGGTGCAAGAATCCGAGGAGTATGAGCGCAAGAAGACCAAGAAAGTGCATTTCTGGGATTGTCGCGATGCACAGGAATACCGACAGCTGGAGAAGGAAGGCAAAGGCGTGTTCGACATGCCCGTCTACGATCCGGATGCACAGGTCATCGATATACAGTCGACTCCTCGCCCTGACGATCCCGTCCATGACATCCCCGTGAGGATCCTCCGACCCAAGGGAGCCCCGAGGGGGATACTGATGTTCATTCATGGCGGTATTTACTGTTCTTTCTGAAAAAGAATGAGACCACGCTAACATATGAAATCAATAGGAGGCTTCGTCATCGGCTCCTCCTCCTTGCATGATAATGTGCTGCGGCTTCTGGCCGAGCAGACGGATCTCATTGTAGCCTCGGTGGAATACCGCCTCGCGCCAGAATACAAACTGCCTGCGGGCTCGTACGACTGCGTGGACGCAGCCATGTATCTGTTGTCGCCGGACTGCGAGAAGACGCTGGGCAGCACCTTGTCGTTTATCTGTGGCGAGTCCGCCGGGGGGTATTTGACTGTGCAGACGGCTCTGATGCTGAGGGACGCGGGCATTGATGTGCGCAAGCGCCTGGCGGGGATCATGCCCGTGTATCCTATTGTCGATCTGTCCTTCCTGCCGAGCGTGCGCGCGGGAACTGCAAGTGGACAGGGCGTGCCCATGCCAACAGACGATGCAGACCGGAACTTCATTGCCCTGTCCCTGCCGCGTGAAGTCTGGACATCCAAGGACAAGATCAAGAATCCGATATACTCGCCTCTATATGCAAATCTCGGCGATATGCCTCCTGCCATGATCACTGTGGGCGCCATCGACAGCCTGTTGGATGATAGTATCCTGCTGGCGGCCAGGTGGGAGCTGGCGGGCAATCAGGCAGAGCTGAAGATCTACCCGGGCTCGCCGCATGGTTATCTGGTTGTTGACTTGGATGTCACCAAGGAGGCGATTGCAGATCTTGTTGACTTTATGAAGGGGAGGCTAAACAGCTCTTGATCCATTGAAAGATCCTACAGTGTATTTAGTAGATATATTATGTTAGTATAAGATATGAGATCATGGAGTAGCAAGATAGAGCTACTTTCAATTATGATTCAAACTAGTAATAGTGACTATATTGATTCGTCAGCATAACCTTCCTCTTGGTCTGGCTTAGATTAGACGCGGAGATGGCAGCTTCGGAGAGGTGATATTCTGACCTGTCAACAGAGTGATCATAGACTGTGCTGAGTGGCTATATCACGGCTAAACATTTAAGAATAAGGACATGTTCATCTTCCCCTCTTAAAATCCCTCATATAAACACACCTGTCAGGAAGAGAGAAGACTTATGTAATATAGAGGTAATGGCCTTTTAATTAGTATGTCTATATCATCTACATAACATGTTATAAAACATGAATTAACTTAATGTAGATTAATGACATGATATAGGGGGAATAATCAAGGGTATGCCCACAGGCCAGATATAAATAGGACTTACCTTATAATATTTATTATACTATCATCTCATTATTTAATCAATACTGAAGTAAAAAGACAGCTTATTAACACCACTGTGGAAACCCAGTAGATTAACATCTAAACAAAGGAGAAAGGATGAGAACCTTTTGGTGGAATATGCCCTCTGCAGGGGAGGCTAATATATAGGAATCCAGTATATACCATCATTCTCTAGAGAGGAAATAAGTCTGGATCAGTTGGTTCCATCAGCGTGAAGGTCCACATGAATGAAATGGCCCATTAGTTAGTCTGTAGAGAGATGACAGGAGGGAATTGAGCGATACTATCGAATGATCCTTACTAGTACTTGTTGTAGGCTACGGTATACTAAAGATGTCATTCGTTACTATCATAGGTGGACTAGATATCAATCCCTCGGCTCATAGATGAGGAAGGGAATGGACGAGTTCCAGCAACCAGCCTCCAGTTCATAGCCGGTGATGTTCTTGACAGCCGTGTTGTTGCCAAACTCCAGGATCAGCCCGCCATTCGCCGCTCCCGAGTCAAAGGCAGGCCAGCCGACAGTTGCACCGATGGTGGAAGGGTCCTTGAGGAACGCCAGGATGTAATCCTGCATCGTTTGCGAGGTGGTGATCTCCAGGTCCGAGATCTCTCCGACGTCGATTTCGTAGGAACCGAAGATCATCAGCAGATCTGACCAGTGGAAGGCGCCGAGATAATAGACGGGACTGATGTTGGAGAAGTTGCCCGCCCACTCGTAGCGATAGGTCTCTAGGCCAAGAGATGCCCGGCGCTTTGCATCAATCCACGCCGTGCAGATCCATTCGCCCTCGACCTCCATCGTCATGTCTTCCTGGGAGCCGGCCATCTCACGCGAGGCGTCCGAGCGGATGGCCGGGCCACGGGCGACTTTCCCCAGGGCATATCGTTCGGATTGATTGGAGAAGATGTATTTCTCGTCGGCTATACAATTAGAAGGTAAAGACAAGAAAGGTAGCAAACAGAAAGAAAAGGAGAACTCACGGATATAATTGCCAAACGAGATCTGCGGGGAGCCGTCATAACTGTTGATGTATTCCTCAATCTGGACCCAAGACACCTGGCGCATGCATTCCAGCTCGGCCTGGGAGTCGTTGCCATAGTTGCAGCCCAGACCGACAGCAACGATGTGGAAGTCCTCCCAGACATCGGTCGTGTCAGACATGTTGATCGTCACCGAGGGCGGCTGGGAGATGATGCCGAACTTGGCGGCGAGGGGGTCGTCGGGGAAGGCGAGCGTGTAGAGATGGGTTAACGCGGCGCCTTGAGACTGGCCCCAGAGCTATATCATCAGTATAGAATAGTATAAATAACAATATCAGCATGTACCATGATGTTTTCAGGATCACCTCCGAACGCCTCGATATTCTCGTACGCCCATTCGACAGCAGCGCGGACGTCCAGCATGGTCAACGAGGTCTCTTTCAGTGCGCTGGATTTGGGGTCTTTGTTGTTAGTATATTCAGTCTTCATCAGCAGGGACAGACGTACTGCCAAAGATATTCAGCCGGTAGTTGATCGTGATGACGATGTGTTCCTGGGATCGCGACACCCACTGCGCGGGCAACTGCGACGGCACCTCAATCCCGCCCGTGATGCCACCACCACCTGTCACGAACAGGGCAACGGGCAGCTTCGATGTGCGGTTGGCATACGCGGGCGTCCAGATGGCGAGCGACAGACAGTCCTCGGCGGACGACCAGGCGACGGAGCCCTCGTTGTCTGCCTCGCCAATGCTCAGCAGGAGACTGGCGGGCTCATACTCGGCCCACATGCTTTCTCCCGTGCTGACATACTGCGGGCATGCTAGGAACAATGAGAACAATGTCAAAATCAACAGTATAAGAGACTTACCCGGCCCAAATCTGGTCGAGTCGATCCTCTTGGAAGAGTCGGGCAGTCTCTGGGGAGGCTCCCAGCGGAGATCCCCCACGGGAGGCTGGGCAAAGGGGACTCGCAGGAACTGGCGGACGTTGGTGTAGGTGTCGTTGTACATGCCGATGAACCTGCCTGTGCGCGTCTCGACCGTGAGGTTGGTCCAGTTGGACAGCGTGCGGGCCGGTTGCCAGGTCAGATTGGCATAGTAGGGGGGGTTGAGGGCCGCGGCGGCCATCGAGGCCAGGCCCAGCAATGGAATCAACTGCATGATGAGAGCGGTGCGCTTGTGGCTGTAGCTCAGCTGTGCCTTGCTGAAGTGGCAGCTCTTTACCTGGAGCTTATAGGACTTTATACTTGCTCAATTGTGGGGGACTTATACTGTGGGGAGATTCATCCTGTCAGTGTGGGGTGCTTGAGTCAAACATGATATCATGAAAACAGGTGATGGAGGAGGGTAGCAGGGATCTTCAGCGTTGCATTGGTTATTACTCCGTAGGTGTACATGAGTTGTACAAAGCATCGGATATTACTAAATTCCGTCTGCAGGCAAGGCACAGTCAGTTGACTTGACGGGCAATTGTCGGACTTGTCAGGCAACGGGCTTGGCGGAATGACTGACAGTGGATGAGGTAGTATATTAGGTTGATGTGTAAGATGGATTGTTTAGTCAATAAGAATAGCCTTTGATTCTAGTGTATTGAGTGATAGACTCGGAATAGGATTTCATAGTATATATGAGCCTGATACCCTCGCTACACGAGGGGCTATCGGCAGTATTCTTATGATTTTAATTAAGATATTATACAGCAGAGCTCTTAAGCCTGCTCTGGACTAGCCCTATATTCACAATTAACACTAATCTAGATGTTAGTTAAAGAATCATCTGAACCACCTAGAATCACCTAGAAATCAATAGGAATCAATATAAGAATTAGCCTGAAAGCAGTATATATACTGTATTAAAATCTCAACGAATACTTACCTGGATAATAAGAAGAGAAGAGAAATATGAGAAATAGATTATATAGGAAAATACAGACCTTGAATAGTTTTAGCTTATGATTATTTGTGTATACGGAGTAACAGAGAGTAAAGTATAATATGATACTTGCATAATACTTGCATAATTGACTATAGTGAATCTAATACTACGTGGATAACTGGGAAAGATTAATATTGAATTAGCAAGTATTATGCAAAAACTAGCCCGTCCCATCCGGCATCCTTGCTCAAGGCACACCTCCGACGGAACTCAATGGCACTGCCGGCATAGCGGGCAACGTTGCGCTGCGTCTTGCCGGCGACATTCTTATTGACGCCGGTCATCCAGCTGTCGATCTCGTTGAGCAGGGCGCCCTCGCTGCAGTCGGCGACATGCGAGGTCCAGGCCTCGACGGCCTCCTCGGTCGGCTCGACATAGGTGTATCCGTGTTGCTCGCAGGTGGCCAGCATGTCGACGACCACCTGCACGGCATGTTCGATGCTGCGCGGGGCGTTGCCGAACGGCTGGTGCGGGCCCAGAACCATGAACATGTTGGGGAAGCGCGGCACGGTGATGCCCAGATAGGTACGGGGGCGGTAGTCGAGCCAGACGGCGTGGTCGGCGGCGGGCGTGCCCGAGTTGGCCATCAGCACCGCGCCGTCCTTGCCCTGCCAGTCGATGTTGACAAAGGCGCCCGTGATGGCGTTGAAGCCCGTGGCGTAGATGAGGATGTCGAGCTCGTGGTGGGTGCCGTCGACCAGCTCGATGCCCGTCTCCGTCACCCGCTCAATGGGCGTCTTCTTCAGGTCCACCAGGTGCACGTTGGGCTGGTTGTAGGCCTCAAAGTAGCCGCTCTCCAGCGGCAGCCGGCGCAGCCCGAAGCCGTGGTCCTTGGGGATCAGGCTCTCGGCGGTGGCCGGGTCGTGGACGCGGGCGCGGATCTTGGCCGCCATGAAGTCGGAGTACAGCTGGTTGGCGGTGCGGTCGGTGTAGGTGTCCTTGAAGGCGCCCAGCCACTTGGCCATCCCGGGCTGGCTGTAGATGCGCTCCCACAGCGCCAGGCGCTCCTCGGGCGTCACCTCGCCGGACCGGCGCGGGTCGGGCTGGTGCATGAAGCAGGTGGGCGTGTCGGCGCACTGCTGGAACACCTGCGGGTAGCCCTTGCGGATCTCGGCCATCTCCTCGACGGAGATGGTCTTGTTGTGCAGCGGGGCGGACCAGTTGGCGGTCCGCTGGAAGACGGTCAGCGAGCCGAGGCCGGGCACCTTGGACAGCGCCGTGATGGTCTGGATGCCCGTGGCCCCTGTACCGAGCACGCCGATGCGCTTGCCGGCAAACGCCTGGCCGTGCTCTTCCACCGTGAGGTCCTGCGGCCAGCGCGAGGTGTGGAAGCCGCGCCCCTGGAACGAGTCGATGCCCGGGATGGCCGGCAGCGTCGGGTTGGAGAGGAAGCCGAGGCAGGAGACGTAGAAGCGGGTGGTATAGGCCTGGCCGGCCTCGTCGGTGAAGCGCCAGGCACGCTCGGCGTCCAGCCAGCGGGCCGAGACGATGCGGGTGTTGAGCTGGATGTCGCGGCGCAGGTCGAGCCGGTCGGCGACAAACTGCAGGTACTTGAGCGTCTCGGGCTGGGGCGAGAAGGACTCCTTCCAGTGCCAGTCGTCGAGCAGGCCCTGGTCAAAGGAGAAGGCGTACGAGACCGACTCGCTGTCGAAGCGCGCCCCCGGATAGCAGTTCCAGAACCAGGTGCCGCCCACGTCCGACGCGGCCTCCAGCACTCGCAGGCGCCAGTGAGGGAAGCGTTGGCGGATGTGATGCAGGGCGCAGAGCCCGGACATGCCCGCCCCGATGATCAGCACGTCGTAGTCAGTCATGGCGAGGATGAGATGAGATGAGATGAGATGCGATGAGATGCGATGAGATGATGATGACGGCGGTTTTATAGAGCTCGGCCTGTTCGCCGTGATGGGCCGGAGTTTGATAAGAACAGAGTAGAGGCCAGACTAAACTGAAGAAAGACAAGCTTACATCATGATAATAATAGTGTACTCTGTATATGCTGTTATATTTATATTATTATCATGTGCTAGTACCACGAGATAGATTCATGGGCCCAGCCAATGGGAATGAAGATAACCCCGCAGCCAGACCCACAGGGCCCATCCCCTTATCAGTGGCCTAGCCTGATCTAACCTAGTACTCCTCGTATCCCCGCATCGCTGATAAGCACATAAACTATAAGCCTAAAGCAGGCCGCTTCTTGCAGACACTTACAGTTTCCATGGAGGCAGAATCGGCTCCAATTCAGCGCCCTCGGCGAATTCGCGCGTGAGTAGAAGAAACATGTATTCTCATCCAAGACAGAGATATATTCACTCTTTAGCTGCCAGCAATGCCGCTCTGCCAAGGTGCGGTGCTCGGGGGACCGCCCGTGTGAGCGCTGCGCTCGCCGCCGCGACAAATGCACGTTTCCCGCCGACGAGGCCCACGTCTCCGTTCCAGAGCGATACCTGCGCGAGCTGCAGCGCCAGGCCGCCCAGAACCGAGCAACTACAGCCTCGACGCCCCCCGGGGGGTCTCTCTCGGTCTCGGTCTCCGACAGCGACGCCTCGGTCCTGACGCCGACGTCGCTGCCTCTGCCTCGCGCTCGCGCTCGCGCTCGCCGAGATACGAATGGTAAGAGGGGGGTATCTTCGATCTGCCTGCTATCTGCTGACCTCCAGACCCTGTCCAGGCGTACAATCCCCTGGTCGCTCGAGATGTGGCCTATGTGCGTGGCTCTGACGACCGCCGCCTGCGTACGTATTCCCTAGGGTTAGGGTTAGGGTTTAGGGTTTAGGGTTAGGTTGACTCCTTTGCAGTCTTCCTCGGGCATACCTCGACATGGTCCTTCTGTCGACGCGCCTTTACCCTGCTGGAGGATGCCACAGGCTCGCCTGATACTCCGCGGGTGCCGTTGAACCTGGACGGCGCCGCGTTCCGCCTGCGCTGGCAGGCCAAGGGCGCCGTCGACGCCGGCGACCTGCTGCGGCTGCCCCCCGTCGACCACGCCCTGTTCCTCTACAACACCACCAAGTTCCGGCTGGGGGAGCTGTTTAGCCTGGTCGACGAGGCCAGCTTCCTGCGGGTGTTCGACCAGTTCCACCAGCAGCCGCTGCAGACGGCGCAGACGAATCTGCTGTGGTTCGTCGAGTATCTGCTGCTGCTCGCCTTTGGCAAAGCCTTCACCTCGCCGCCGTCCGCCCAGCAGCAGCAGCCGGCCGGCTGTGAGCTGGCCGTGCGGGCGCTGTCGCTGCTCCCCGACGTCGCCTTCCTGCAGGAGGAGCGGCCCGCGATGCTGGCCATCCAGGTGCTCTCCCTCGTCGCTCTCTACCTCCTCTCCGTCGACATGCGGTCCGCCGCGTATCAATACATCGGCCAGGCCCTGCGCCTCGCCCTGCACGACGGCCTCCACCGCGGCCTCTCCGACGACGTGATGGACCGGGATCTGGCCTCGCGCTGCTGCAACACCTGGTGGACCGTCTACGTGCTCGACCAGGAACTCACGGCCAGCCTGGGATGCCCGCCGGCCGTGCCCTTGAACAGCATCACCGCTCCCCTTCCCGACACCCGCTCGGCCTCGCTGCCGGCCAAAGCCTTGACCTTGCGCACTCGCCTGTCGCGTCTTGCGTCCAGTGTGTCCAGCAGTACGTATAGTGGTATAGAACTACCTCCGCCTTATACTACTACTTACTAACCCTTCAGCTATCTATAGTCTTGACCAAGGCCTCAGCTCCGACTTTGTGTGCAGCATCACCTCTGTTCTACACCGGCTGGCCGAGACCTCGCGCGAGATCGACCAAGTGACTGCGGCGTGCAAGGCCAGCGGCGCAGAGCTGCCACACATGTTCTACAACATCACTCTCTCTCACCACCACGTAAGCAAGCCCTGAACAACAAAGGAGCACAGGTTGATGACTCTAGTGCATCGTTCTGGCCACCCGGCCGTTGGTGATCTGGCTGCTCATCCGCAGCATCCCCCCCGGCCAGTTCGACCCCCAGGAGCTCGCCGGCCCCATGGCCCGCCTGCTCGAGACCTCCGCCCAGTCGGCCACCACCACGCTGGCCACGCTGGTCGCCCTTCTCGACCGCGACATGCTCGACACCTTCCTCCCCTTCCCGCTCGAATACGCCTTCTCCGCCGCCCTCCTGCTCTCCATCCTCGGCTTCATCCTGCCGGCGTACGTGCCGGACCCAGCCTGGCACCGCGCCGCCGCCGCCGTCTTTGACGAGATGGTGCGCAGGGGGAATGTCGTGGCTGTCCTGCGCCGCGCAGAACTAGACCATCTGGAAGCTCTCCTCGAACCGCATCGACAGCAGCGGCAACAAAGCGAACAGCATCTGGCTTCGTCGCACATGAATATGCCGCTTTTCGAGGGAGAGCCCGAGGCAGGCATGAGAAATGCATTTGATCCCTTTGCCCCCAGCGCAAATGATATGCTTACCCTGGCAGAGCAGCTGGAGCATGGCGACTTCTCCTCTACTTTTATGTTTGAATGAGTGAATTGTTAGTCTTGTATCAGTTACTATGATTAGTTGACTCAGTTCATGAATCAGTCGACACATCCTTCGGTGCCACAGTATAACCTTGCATGTCGATCTTCGAATACTGGGCTAACCCTAAGGATAGAACTTACAACTACTCAGGAACCATTATGATACATTGTGGTGAGATTAATCTACACAAGACAAGTGATGCCATCAACCACGGAAGCCAACCAGCTGGCCCATCTCCTGCCAGAACGTACTCTCTTCCTCGAGGGTGGTGGCCTCGTAAACGTCGACGCGCGGACACTCCCAGACGAGGTCGATGGTGCGCGGATCATGGAATCCGCGGCGGGTGACGAGCGTCCAGCCGAGGAAGAAGACAATGGAAAGCAGAGCCATGGCGTAGCAGCTGAAGAAGGACTCGGTGTCAAACGGCTGGAAGGAGGTGTATCCGAAGGTGCCGATCACCAGCAGGAAGAAGACGGAGGCAATGTAGCCGCCTGCAGATTAGCATCCGAGCCATTCTAGCAACGAGACGAGTCTTTCTTACAGTATGGCTGGAACCAGCCGTAGTAGGGAAGCGTGTGCCGGTCGACGCCCTGCGCTTTCAAGGCACGATGGAAGAAGACGTACGTGACGGACATGACGAGGTAGTTGATAAAAGCGCCGCCGGTGACCTGATCGTCAGTCTATACATCAAGGAGAGAGAGAGAGAGAGAGAGAGCTACCAGGTTAACAAGCAGACTCAGGGTGGTGGAAGTCCGAGAGCTGGACTGGAGGAAAGACAGGCAGGAAAAGGCCATGGTCAAGGCGAGGCAGTAGATGGGAACGCCCTGCTTGGTACACTTCTTGAAGATGGCCGGGGCCCGTCCGTCGAGCGCGAGGCTGTACAGACTGCGCGAGGTGCAGTAGACGTAGGAGTTGCCGGCGGAGAAGATGGAGGTGATCAACAGGGCGTTGACGATGTTGGGGAAGACGGTGATCTAAAGATCAGCATCGACCAGTGAATGCTTGAGATACTAACGTACGCCTAGATTCTTCATGGCAATGACATACGGCGAAGCAGCTGCCGTGCCGCCGCCGCTGCCGGTGCCAACAAGGATAGAGACCAGGGTGGGATCGTCGTATGCCACCACGATGCCGACGGCAAGGGAGCTGCCGATGAAGAAGACAAAGAAGCGGAAGTAGATGGTCTGGTAGGCGGCCTTGAGGTAGCGACGCGGGTGTTTGGCCTCTGCAGCGACGAGGGAGATGTACTCGGGGCCGACGACACAAAAGGAGGCCGTCCACAGGGCAGAGAGGAAGCCTTCCCAGCGGCCGAGGCTGCCGGTGGTTCTATACTCCTGGCAAGGATTAGAGAGTCTCGGTATTCATAATCGGTGATGATCGTGTCTTACTGCAAAGCCTCCTTCTTTGAAGTGGCGGAAGCCATAGACGTCGTGCTTGGGATTGCCGCCGACCATGGTGATGAAGGTGAAGAGGAACAGGGCGAGGACGAGGATGATCTTGCCGCCGGAGAGCCAGAACTCGGCCTCGCCATAGGCATTGACGACCAGGCAGTTGATCAGGGTGTAGAGGACGATGCAGACGAGACACATGGACCAGATGGGCACGTCCTCGCTCCAGTACTGCACGACGGTCGCCAGCGAGGCGATCTCAAACGGGATCACCAGCGCCTCGTACAGGAAGTAGTTCCAGCCCGCCATGAAGCCAAAGGCGTCGCTCACGAAATGGCCGGCGAGCCGGATGAAGCCGCCCGCGACGGGGTACTGCGTCACCATCTCGGCCATCCCATTGTTCACCAGGGCGACGAACACGCAGTACACGATAAAGGCCAGCAGCAGACTCGCCGGGCCGCCGTCGTGCAGGCCACTGCTGATGCTGATGAACAGGCCGGTGCCGATCGAGCCGCCTAGAAGGTCAGAAAAAGACAGACACATGTACATGTCATCGAGACGGAGTCCGGCATACCCATGGCGATGAGCTGGATCTGGCGGTTGTTGAGCCGGCGCAGAAGCTGGTCCGAGTCAACGACGGTCCCCATCGCCTCGGACTCGCAGGGGGCGAGTTCGGCCATCTTGGCCATGTCTGACTTGTCTGCCATGTTGCGATGATGATAACGATGATATGGTATTTGATAGAGAAGAGAAGAACAATGCAGTAAGATGTGGAGTTTTAATACTCCAACCGTGCATGTCTCATGGACCCCATAACTATCATGAGGGGGCTCGTATGATAAGCTCTATTGTTCGGCCCCGACGCCGACACCGACGCTCGGGGGGGGAGTCCGTGATAAGAAGTATCTAACACTTCATTTATCTCTTGATCGTATCTCATCTTCATCTCTTGATCGTATCTCAAAACTCTTCTCATTTATCTCTTGATCGTATCTCAATAATAGACATCAATGGCCACCTTTGAAGGAAAGACGGTATGTTGTACTACTGATGGTAGATGGCTCTTCTCACGCTTCTAGATCGCCATCACCGGCGCCGCCAGTGGAATGGGCCTGGCAGCCGCCCAGCTGCTGGCAGCCCGGGGCGCGTCCATCTCGCTGGCCGACCTCAACGAGACGGCCCTGACGGCCGCCCTGACGAGCCTGCCCGGCGGCGAGGACCGACACCTGGCGACGCGCGTCGACGTGCGGGATTCCGCCTCGGTGGACGCCTGGATCGAGAAGACAGTGCAGCGCTTCGGCCAGCTCGACGGCGCGGTCAACATGGCGGGCGTGCTGGGGCCGACGGGGCCCACGACGGGCGTCACCGACCAGCAGTTCGACTTTGTGTTTGCCGTCAACGTGACGGGCGTGTTCAACTGTCTGCGCGCGCAGCTCAGGGTGATCAAGTCCGGCAGCATCGTCTCGGCAGCCAGTACGTTTGGCCAGATCGCGATGCCGAACTGCTCGGCGTACTGCGCCAGCAAGGCGGCCGTCATCGCCCTGTCCAAGTCGGCTGCCAAGGAGAATCAACACGTCCGCATCAACTGCGTTGCTCCAGGTAGATATACTCTCGCTCTGAGTCTGAACCATGCTAATCATCAGGAACCGTTCTCACCCCAATGTCCGCCGATCACGATCCCAAACGAGTCGAGGCAGGCATCATGGCCAACGCGCAGAAAAGGCTGGGCGCGGCAGAGGAAGTGGCCAAGGTGATTGCGTTTCTCGTCAGTGACGAGTCGAGCTTTGTGACGGGGGCTGTCTATAACGTTGACGGGGGGTGGATATATTAGTATATTGTTGAAAGCAACAGGTATAGGGTTAAGTTAAAGAGACTTGTTTTAAGATAGGCAGTCTGTTTAGGGTCAAATTCCAAGATGCCATCCTCTTTATGGCTATAGAAGAGCTCAGCATTAGCTGGCAGTAGATCTTAGATATCTCCTGTCCTAGGGTTTAGGGTTAGGGTTTAGGGTTTAGGGTTTAGGGTTTGAGACAGGCTACTAAAGAGGTATATTACTAGACTTGTTTGACTGGCATATTGATAGTGTGTCTTTATAATCTATGCTATGAAGCTACCAGGTAGTGATTATGATTATAGCTTCGATCGACTCGCCTCAATAAGCTCCGTCAACTCCCCCCCCCGGCCGACTCGCCAGCTGACGGCATCCCCCCATTGCTGCCCTCCCGCCGAGGGAGTCCGCCACTGCCAGCGCGGCTCGCTCTGCTGGCCGCGTTGCAGCAGCTCGACCACCCATTTGCCGAAGATGGGCATCATCTTGAAGCCGTGGCCGGAGTCGCCGGCGAGGGCGACGACGGAGCCGCCCGAGCCGGGCACGAAATCGATGCAGTAGTCCGAGTCGGCCGTGTCGGAGAACCAGCACAGCTTCTTGTCCACAAACGGCCGCTCGGCCATCCACGGGAACGTCTCGCGCAGCAGCGTCCGCAGCTTGTCCTCGTCCGCGCGCGGGATGAAGTCCTGCGGCGGCGGCAGCCGGTCGCCCGGCGGCAGCGAGACCCCGTCCGCCCCAGGGTTGGTGTACCCGATCCCCAGCGGGCACAGCTTGAACAGCTTCGTCTTGGGGTCCGGCTCGAAGAAGAAGCCCAGGTCGCGGATGTTGGTCGTCGGGATGCCGCGCAGCAGGTTGCATTCCTCCTCCGTCAGCTGGACGTGGGCCACCGACCAGCAGCGCGCGACGCTGGTCTGGCCCAGCTGCGGGATCAGCGCCGCGCTGTGTGCGCCCAGCGCCGAGATGACCAGGTCGGCCGGGTGTGTCTTGCCATCGGCCGTCGTCACTGAAGTCGCCCTGCCGCTGTTTCCTGCCGCGTAATTGATCTGCACGGCTTTGCCGGCCTCCTCGCCCAGCACCGACTTGACTCCCCGCTTGGAGATGTGCTCCCACAGCCCCCGCATCGCATCCGACGAGTGCGCGTACCCGGCCAGCCGGTTGAAGTAGCCCGTGAAGCCCGTCAGCGGGCCCGAGTACTGCCAGGTGTACTCGCGAAAGTCGGCGGGCGTGTTCAGTCGCCGGATGCCCGGGGCAAAGGCCGGGTCGCGCTCGATCGATGCCAGGGCTTTGTTCAGGTGCGTCACGGCCTTTGCAGGGGCCCGGCCGGTGGTTGCCACCACGTAGCCGGTTTGGTGGTAATAGGGGCCGAACAGGGGGGTTTTCCATTGCTCAATTGCTTCCTGCAGTCGTTAACCAACTGACCGATACACACAGATATACGACATACCAATGCCAGCTTGGAATAAAAGTCATCTTCATACTCCGCCCGCACGATCTTGTTGATGTCGTAGGCAGCAGAATATGGCGATGGAATAGCCTCGGCTCGCTCTAGGATGGTGATATCAGAGTACCCGGCCTCGCTGAGGTACAGCGCCGTGGACAGGCCCCAGGCACCTCCGCCCAGAATGACAATGCGAGAATCATGAGTGACCATTTTGTTTTGTGTGTGTGTGTGTGTGTGTGTGTGTGTGTGAAGCTGTAAGAGTTTGTCTATATACTGTATCAGCGGTGAAGCTTTCGGCGCGGCGACCGACGGTGACGGCCCTGGCGCCGATAGGCCACAGGCTGCGGGGTTCGGCGAGGAGGCCGTGCCTAGATTTATCTCCAGATAGCTGTGTTATCTTCATTTGTTAGCTTTATCTTGTTGATATCTATGGTCTAATAAGGGGATTGACTATAACTGAGTATTCATTTATCAGATGTTCTTTGGATATCATATCTGCTTATCTAGTGTCAATGGGATGTTCCCTGCCCATCTCTAAAGAACCATCATACTAATAATATAGAGTAATGGAATTCTAGTTATAGGTGTATAATTTATAGTAATAGCAGAGTGAGACTGATATATTGCTTAATAGTTAAGTAATAGGTAGATAAAATATATTCATTTAGCTCCTGCCTCCTCATAGTGAATAGACAGTCATCAACATAAAGGACAGCCGCATGTGAAACACTGCAGGCACTGGATTTGCGCAGAAACCAGGGAGGCAAGGTCAAGCTATAGTTATAGGCAATAGACACCTGGATGATCCAGCCATAGGTGAATATTTAGTAGTGTTGGCCTGTGTACTTCCTTATACTTCAACGGCGAAGAAAAAAACAATAGTATTAACAGCAGTATTAGGAGTATACACACCACCAGCACTATAGGGTAGGAATATAAGCAGTGACCTCGCACTACTCTAGGGATTGGAGTTAGATGTCGGCACGACTGGGTAACAGCAAGGTCTAGGGATATGAGGAGTCTATAATAGGTCTGATGAGAGAACAAGACAAAGTGCTTGAGGTCTTATTGTCTATCTGGGGGGGGTGGTATATATCCCAATTCCAAGCGGGTTACTTGACGGGTGCCCGACCGATGCCCAACGTCGACTATCCGTCGCGGGGTATGCTTAGTCAGATGGGTTGTAGGGCGGCGTCGGTGCCGGCCTTACAATAGTACTAATATAAAACTATTCTTATAATCTATTATTAATTAGATTAAGCAGCTCTTAGAGGATCAAGTCTGCCAAGTTCCAACTATAAGAAGAATCTTTTTGAAAAACTAAAGTATCGATATGCTCTTCTCCGCCGCCTAGACCTTTATTATATATAACCTTATACCTAACCATCTAAGTAGATACTAGTACTTATTAGAGGATTTAGAGACTCACTATAGCTTAATAATACTCTTATAATTTAATGTTGTAAATAGGGAATTACTCTTATGTGCCCAGAGAATCTGTGAGATCTATTATATCTTCTAGATAGTCTAAGCCCTTCTAATTAGTTTTAGATAAGTAAGTGTTATTAAAGGGGCTACTTTATGCGGCTTAAAGAATATGTATGCCTAGAGGCGCAAATATAGGCTTTACTATAGTATTAAGGGCAGGATAGAGTTCCATGAAGGAGTGGATCCTGAGAGTCATATATATTTATGAATGGTCTGGGCGCATGCATTGTAGTGACTATATGATATGGGTGATTAGAAAGGTGACCCTAAATATACTCTCTCCTTCTTCCTCCCTTTTTCCCTGAAAAATACAATGCCGACACTGCTTAGGGGGACTTAATTGACCTAGATCATGAATACTCTCTCTAAGGCCTCAATCGGACGTACTATAAGGAATAATCTTTGGACTTTCTCTACAGGCTCTTTATATGTGATACCGATATGCCACCTAAACGGTATGACGAGCTAGGTGAGTACTTAATATTGACCTAGACTTATTAAGAGTTACTAAAATCCTTTAGTGTGTTGCTATATTAGCACCATCAATTACTCCTTTAATGAGAGCAATCTATTGAGATTGAAAAGGAAAAGGAGTAATAGTGATAGGTTAATATGGAGGCTGAAATATAGTATTGGATTTGACATGCTCGCAGATAGGGGTATGCTGAAGTTTAAGGTTCTAGGACCAGAGAATAAGGAGATTAGGGAAACCAGCATTAATTATGAGTAAACTGGCGCTCGGGCTATATTTTGGATTTCTACTGCAGAAGATTCTCATCGCACGCCAGAATAAACCACTATAGTGGAATAATCTACATATATCACTTCAAGAGATACAACAGGGTTGAATATATACACAGAGGCTAGGCCCTTCTTTCAGGTCTAGAGGTCTTCTACCAGGTACCGTTGTTTTTCTCCCATAATCACCCTTCCCAGACATGGCGAAGTTGGTCAATATATATTGGATAAGAGCTTTATTATCGTGGGAAAGTATAGGAGAGGAAAAGCAACAGCAAGGGTGATGAGGAAGGAGTCACTTATTCAGCACATCTCCCAGTAAATATCCAAATCTGCCTGATAATCTCATGAACTACTGGTATGAACTACTTCAAGTGACAGACTCCTTGGGCACCCGGTCCAACCTTCTTGCCAGAGACTGTCGAGATCAACCTTGATCCACCGAACTGTTTATTCGATTTCTTGGCCTAATCTCCATCTGGTGGTTAATTCCACCCTATATATATAGCATCTTGCTGATTTCATTAACTTCCTATCTGTACATTGTGATACCAGGATTATGACCCGGCTTCTCTACTCCAACAGGACAACTGCGTGGTCTTCCTGGAGGATAAATCCCCTGCTAAACGGGCGACTGGACCTACATTCACCATGATTGTCCGGTGCAGAGTCGACCAGAGAAACTCTCCGATACTTATACTGTTTTCAACCCTGATGTAGATTACAGGCGGACAAAGACCTGTGGATGCTTTATTCAATTTTCCCAGTAGGATTCTAGGTTTTTAGGGTTTAGGGTTTAGTGTTCTCTGCCTGCTTCTTCATACGCTGTGCTATCCTGATGCTTCCATCTCTGACCGGGGATTTTTGATAATAGACCAATGCCTATTGAAACATAGTATCAAGGCCTTCCGCGGATCTATTACCCCTTATTGCGGATAGATTACTATATTCTATTGGTTTATAGAAAGTGTAGCTTCTTCATACTAGGTCGCAAGTATAGTAAATGCAGCGTTCATAAGCATAATATTGGAAAGACAGCTTCTGATGCCTTTCTGCATGGATTATCATATTTCTTTAATGTTATTCTATTATTCCAGCGACCCCCATACCCCGACCTCTGATTGCAGTGGGGTAGGTCTGGAGACCCCCCATGAGTCACCTGTTTGAACATGCCATCCATCCTGCCGTTGCGCCACTTCTGCCTAGGGGGGGCCCCAACTCGCCTACTGTATCACTTGCAGGTTAGTTACCCCAGAGCAGCGCACGAATTATCTGCTTGGACGAGACAATCACATTCCTGCTGCAGGATGCTTGTCGAGCGTGCTTTACAAGAGAGATTAATCGCGCAGCCGGACAACCCGCGGCCATGACACACACGATGGAATGTGACCCGGTCAGGCCACTGGCACGATAGGGCCATATAATAGCGTCCGACGATGCCTGCGATTCATCCCAGCTTGACCAGGTTGCCTGCCTTTGCATTGATCTTGTTCATGACACATGGACGAACCACGGATCCGCCTCACTGACCCCCGCGCCGCGGCGGGAGACGCGAGCTTCTATTCCCAACACACCTTCCAGATCGAATATCCCGACGTCGGCCTGCAATGGCTGTGCGACATGCCGCCCAAGAACGTGCAGCAGCTGCGCAAGCTGTCGATGTACATCCACCCGCTGTACCATGCAGGGCCGGATAACCGTGACGCGCCGGATTCGCCGTCGCCGCCCGACTCGCCCGACTCGCCCGACTCCCTCGAGAGGCAAACGCCCGCCAACGGCCCGCTGTGGTGCGACCTGCTGGACAAGATCTCGACTGATGCGACGGGCCTCGAGCAGCTCACGCTGTATCTGGGGTCGGAGCCCCTGATGGACCACTGGGGCCCCGCAGTGGACATCAATTTCGTGCACGCGCTGGGCCAGTTGGGGAACCCGAACCTGCGCTCGCTGCAGATCGCGGGCTTCTTCCCCAAAGAGTGGCCGCTGTATCTGCAGCAACGCACGGGCTTGACGGTCTGGGACGCCGCAGGGAAGCAAGAAGGCTATTTAACGCGCCTCAGGGAGTTCCAGCGCATGCTGCATGATCAGACGCTGTGACGGGTTTTTTTGTTTCTAGCTTTAGCCCTAATCAACCCCAATCAACCCTACTTCGCCACATCTGGTATACTCGGCTGGAATTAGTAGTATTCCATACATACGGAGTAAGCCTCTTGGACTATTCTCTACTTTGGTCCTTTCTATATATCCCCATATTCATAGCAGCACTGTACATGCGACCACAGGGTGTGGAAAACAGGGCTTCCCGTCCGCTCAGCCGTACTTAAGCCATATGTTCAATGCAGTCAACCGAAAGAAAAGCCCTGCTGATGTCGCTGCTTTAAAGACTATTTTAGATTAAGTAGAGGAGAGCCGGGTGAGCCCTCAGTAACCTCTAGGTGAGCTGGCTGAGCCGCTGGCAATGAGGGGAGATATAAGTGAGCCAGTCTCTTCAAAGGAGTGGAACAAGTGGAAAATGATCAAATAATATTCAAGTGAGCCCTATCTTATATTTTCTTGGTGCTCTTTGTCTCTCCACCATTATTTTTAATTGAGATACTATCCCCATCACATGACAATGCAAGTCCTTACTAAGCTTCAGGAAATGCTGGAGGCGCAACGTCAGCATGCCTTAGCTCATGGCTTTACTGTTGAAATTCAGCATGAAAATAAGGAGAAAGAAAATACTGTCTGTTATCACCAGCTTGCCCCCACTTCTTTAGTCAAGTATAAAAAGACAGTCCAGAACTGGAATCTATTGTTTTATCACTCCGAGAAACTCCTTTTAATCAGGACTGATAGACTCAAGCTGGCAGCTTTCTTATAGTAAAGATGTTGAGAAAGAATTCAGCAAAGAGCAGCCAGATCCGTCGCCATAGGCTTTAAAATCATTTATAGAACATTGTATTGCTACCACCAAATCCCTTCCTGGGCAAAAGACCCTCTCTAAATACTTTACATCATTTATTGGGTCATGGCAACACAAAACCTCTCAAATACTACCTAAGGTAATTAAAGATGATGTTTTGAATGTGTATACCAGTGAATCTAATTTAACAGGCTATATAATCACTAATTCCTTTAAAGTTTATTCAAAACCACATCACTAAAAAATATGGTCTTAAGACTAAACCTAGAAACAAATATCCTGTTACAGCTTAAGATATTAATGACCTTATCTATCATTTATTCAATGATGACTATCATGACTATGTCCATGAGAGAGCTAGAGTCTAAACCGCGTCAGCTCTCTCCCTTTTTGCGGGATCAGGAGCAAGAGCCGTCACTATATGGGGATCAAGCACTAGGAAGGCGCTCACTTTCTCATCACTTAGGACTATCTTTTCTACCTCTTAATCTAATAATACAGTTAATAATATAGATACCTATATAAGAAATGTCTATTTTAACCAGATAGCTTATATATTGCTTACTTGATTAAATGCTTATTCACAGCTGTCAGCGGCTCCCCCCCCATCAGCACGCGCTGCACGTTCTCCATCGCCAGCCGCTCAAAGCCGATCAAAGTGTCCATGGCACCCCCCGCGGTATGGCTCGTCAGCGCAACCGTTTTGATTGCTGCCAGCTTCGGGTTGACGTGCGGCTCCGTGGCCTGGACATCCAAGCCAGCACCTAACAGCTGGCCTGACTGCAGGGCGTCAACCAGCGCATTTTCATCAATAAGCCCCCCACGAGCGATGTTGACTAGACGGGCACCCCGCTTGAACCGGGCGAGGAACTCAGCATTGACCAGTGCCTCCCCAGAGAATGGAGTGGCCAGCACCACGCAGTCAGCAATGGCGACTAGCTCCTCCTTAGATGCATGGTATACGGCTTCAATGGCGGCCTCCTGCGCTGCGTCCTTCTGGTATAGGTCATGGTAATGGATCTTCATCTCTAGCCCACGATACGCCTTCTGCGCAATCCGGTAGCCAATGTTGCCTAGTCCAATGATGCCTAGCACATGGCCCTGCGGGTTCCATGCTGTGCGCTGCGTGTTCTTGTGCGCATCCTGCCACTGCTCGGCGTCGCACGACCGCGCTGCCACTGTCGACCAGTTCAAGTTGCGGAACACGCTGATGATGTGGTATAGGGCCGTGTCAGCCACGGCCTCCGTCGACGCCGCAGCGCCATTGCAGTAAAGGATGCCTACAAGTGTTAACATTCACGGCAGACATCAGAATGAGGTTAAACTGAGTGTTTACCTCGCTTGGCGAAGGCCTGAGTGTCAACCCAGTCGTACCCAGCTCCCGCACTAGCCGACACCTGGACTGTTGCCGGGAGGAGGGCAATAAGCTCCTCATCCCAGTTGCCCATCTCGCCGCCAGAGTTCCAGAACGGGCGCATTATTGCATGGAAATCGCCCCAGCGCTTCTCTTCCAGGGCGGCCTTGAACGCCTCACGCTGCCGCTCCTCCACCGACGGGCGGATGATTGTGAACTGCTGCGCGAGCGTCTCGTACAGCGCCGTGTTGTGCTCGACGGGGTCTCCGAGATGGAGAACAATTGGTTTAGCCATTGCCAGTATCGTAGAGCAGAATGATATGGTTTCTTTTCCCGTTCTAGTCTTTCACTTTGTTCTCATCCGCTCGTTATAACCCCCCCGCAGCCCTCCCCTCCCCCACCTTCCCTCGGTCGCATCTCGCATTCTGTCGGGTCGCGTCGCCTCGGTTGTTGAGGGGCCCCATGGGATTCCCCAGAAATTAGAGTTCCCCGGACTCCACACATGTGTGTTAGTGCGGGACAGGTCCGTCTCCGCAGTCCTGTCTGCTATAATACATACAGTAAGTACTCCATCAATGCAGCTGTCCAAAGTGATAGAATATACAGTGTTATATCTCACTGATACTGACTAATATTTAACCCTAAGTTAGTCATCTAGAGCTTTCTGTTATGCAGGGTTATTGATATCTCTCTAGCACATTCTTAACACACCGAAATGCAGAGGTATTCTTCGGTACCCAATACATGCATCGAAGCTGCTGGAAAGCCCTACATAAGGCTACAAATCATTCTACAACCTTTCAACTACTTTCTTGGACATTATAAGGAGGATTTTCAAAAATCAAGATCCGAATCTTTAGTATTTATATCAACCTTCCTTTCCAACACTTCAAGTTCTGCGAGCGTATAGATAGTCTCTAGTTCAACTACTACTGATACCCAGCCCACACCACTCATTAGAGCTAGCCCATGATACTAGCACCTCACAATATATAGCGATACTCCGGATCACACTGCCAGGTATCAGCGAGCGCCAGCGTGTGCGTGCCTCGCGCGGTGCCCTCGTCGGCAATGTCCTGCGCCGCCGCGGCGTCGAGGCGGCGGTTCCGCCAGCGCAGGTAGAAGCGCAGAACGACAGCAAGAGAGATGCACATGCCGCTGAAGGCAATGTTGGCGACGTTGGCCTGCCAGTAGCGCGGGCCCTGGCTGCTCGGATAGAAGTAGGCAGCGTAGATGGCGGCGAAGTTCGAGAAGGCGTTGACGACGGCGTATGCAACGGCCCGTTTGCCTGCAGGACGCGGCAGGGTGGACGAGACCCAGGACAGGATGCAGCCAAAAGAGCCGTAGACGCTCATCATCATAAAGGTTGAGATGTAGCGTGCCGCGGTGTTCATTGTGGTGGCTGCGATGAGGAAGCCGACGGAGCAGAAGACCTGCGGCCAGACGACGTGCAGGCAGCGCTCCTTGGTGCGGTCGCTGTGCCACGAGTTGGCGATGCCCAGCATCGCCGCGAAGACATACGGCGGGGCCGACAGCAGCAGCGTCTCGGTGGTCCCGTAGCCCAGCGTGTCGACGATCGTTGGGAAGAAGTTGGTGAATGCCGCCGCCGTGTTGAGCCCAAGCTGCATGAACCACAGGATGTACAGCGCCGGATCGCTGAAGGCCATCCGTAGCATCACCATCACGCCTCCCTGATCGGCCTCCTCCCGGTCCGCCTCGCATGCGTCTTCGGCGATGCGCGCGATTGCGATCGTCCGCTCTTCGTCACTCAGCCATCGGGTGGTGGCAGGATAGTCCGGCAGCACGAACATCGCTAGCACGGCCACAGGGACGGTGGCACTTCCTTCAATGATGACTGGACAGTCAGACATGAGCCATTGTTTCGGTGGAGGGGATGCTTACACAGCCAGCGCCAAGCAGGCAGGCCAGCCTTGCCGTCCATGCCGGACATGATGGCGCTGCCCAGCAGGCCGCCAAAGGCCCCAGACATCTGCCCTGCCGCATACAGGATGGAAATGCGGGCGGCCAGCTCTTTCTTGGTATACCACGAGGAGAACAGGAACAGAGCGCCGGCTTGTGCAGTCAGTTTCTGCGCACACACATGCAGACATCGGGGATTACATTACTCACGGAAAAACGGTGCCTCGACGAAGCCCAGGAGGAAGCGTAGGGCAATCATGCCGTGGTAGCTCTGGACAGCACCCGTGCAGGCGCTGATGCTCGCCCAGCAACACATGATGGCCGGCAGGAACAGCGACGGGCGCACCCGGTTGAGGATCAGATTGGTGGGGATCTGGGTCAGAATGTAGCCGACGAAGAACAGGCTGATGATGGTATTATAGCGGTCGCCAGTTAGGCCGATGTCTTGTTCCAGTGTGCCCAGACGAGCAGTGGCACTGTAGCGGTGGTCAGCCGATGTCTTCCGTACAGTTCATGAGAGGGCCTACATGTTGTTGCGGTCGAGGTAGTTGAGGACATCTGGCTGGTTAGAGGAACCCGAGACCTAATGGCTCCACAGGGACTTACAGATCAACATCATCAACGGCATCAGCCGCAGGTCAATCTTGCGTAGGAGGGCCTTCTCTTTGACATCCCTGTCGGGGATGACCAGCCGGATGGCCTCGACATGACTGAGATCTTCTTTGATGTCCATCGCAGGGTGAAACGGGGAGATAGAATTGTGGTGTCGAAGGGGGACATCCTATAGGAGAAAGCATATGGGGATTGGCCTTTTATCTTCTCCATGGGGCCCCTGGCCAAGAGAAAACTGGGGAATTGGGGGCAAACTGGAGAAGCTCGAGAATCCTGGGGATTGCCGAGCCGACGCGAGGCGACGCAGGAATTAAAGAAATTCATTAAATCAATAAAGTTAAGCTAATTCTAGACTAAGTAGGCTACCTGCCTCCATGGTTATGTTGAAGCCATCTAATCACCACTATGCCTCTAAAAAGTGCTTTAAATTCAAAGAAATTTGAGGAGCAAGAGGGGTGAATCTTATTAGCTCTTAATGCTATTAAAAAGAAGTAAGTCAGGTTTACTTATAAAGCTACATGCATCTTTACTATCCCTAGGTATAAGGTTCACTGCTAAGTAGGGATGTTGAAATTTCAGGCCTAAATTATATTTTGTATGAAATTTTAGGGGGGGTTAACTCCTACTTAGTTATATATAGTGGTAAGCAATTTAGACTAATTAGAGGCCTAGAATCCTAGATTCTACTATTTTTTCTATACACCTTGACTTCCCTGCCATTAACCCAAAAAGCATATATCTACTCAATCGACGGCCAAATAAAAAACATACAACAGTAGGGATTCGCTGGTGGTCACCCACCCAACTACTAACCTACCGGCGTGTGGCTTGAGTACGGCTGAGCGGACGGGAAGCCCTATTTTCCACACCCTGTGGTCGTATGTGATGGAATTACATAAATGAAGAATTATATAGAAACATATCCATAAATCATCGGCCGCGACCAAGGTATTGATTTATAAAATGAACAGGCGTTATGTGATATACAAGAGTAATTCATTGAACTTGAGTTGTCTATGTGAGCCACAGGATAGGGCAATATACACACTCATATTCATGGTGTAACCTACAGTTCTAGGGCTCTATTAAGATTAAAGATGGAGTTCGTGCGTGCGATCTTGGCTGTCAGACACCAAGACGTTCCGCTCTATGCCTTGCAGTTCAATATCATAATTGTATACTACCCAGCTAGGTTCCTATTACTTATAGATAGTGACTTTAGAAAACCTCTGTCTATAGAGTTAAATTCCCATAGTCCTGTTTATGCTTTTTACTTTAAAATACCTTAAATTATTCTAATTATTAAAGTTATTTTAGCGCCGGCCAGAAGTTTCAGTTTAATCATCCATACTCACATGGTTGGAGGCCCACACTTGAACTTTTGAGACATTACCATAATTCAGATTCTTCTATGGATTAAACGGTAAATTGGACCAGTAGGAGCAATTGACTAGAAGGAAGACCCTGGAAGGTCACATCGGCGCTAAAATGACACCATAGTATGTTCTTGTGGCCAGAACTATTATTTATTCTGATTGAGATATGAAAATCCCTGCAGGGTGTGGCCCAGAATATCAAGATTGAGTAGATCAGATGGCCGAGCTTCAAACAGCCCCCCCAAAGGAGGCCGAGACTACGTTGGATGAAGTCGAATCCGTCCACGGCCATCCGGTAATTCGCAATGGTCAGCATTCCCATTGAGAAGAGTATAGAAAGGATACTAACCACTACTCCAGGCGAGGATGTTTCGAAATATATCGTCTCTCTCCAAGACGACGGCGATCCATCACTGACCTTCCGTGGGATAGTGTTGGGCACCTTGTTCACAGCCTTCTCGAGCGTGATCACCATGCTGTATACCTTCAAGCCCTATGAGGAGACTGTCTCAGCCGTGTTTTTGCAATGTATGTACCTTTCGATGAACGCAACCCTAACCCTAACCCTAACCTTCTATAGTGTTGATTTACATCTTTGGCGAGGCCTGGGCACTGGCAACTCCCCGCCCTGACCGGTTCTCCTCCTTGTGGATGCAAAAGATACTCCGGTTTGTCAACTCTGGTCAACCGTTCGGCCTCAAGGAACACGTTGTGGCCTCACTGATCGCCTCATCCGGCAACAATGGCCTCTCCGGCGTAGAGATCTACGCCGTGGAGCGGTTGTTCTATAACCGGGCCGTATCTGCCACGACGGCGGTCCTGGGTACCTTTTCCATCTCGCTGTGCGGCTTCATTCTGGCCGGGCTCCTGCGGCCGCTGATCGTGTACCCCGCCGAGATGGTCTACTGGACGACGTTACCGCAGGTCGTGCTGTTCCAAAAGCTGCACGTCAACAAGAACTCAGCAGAGAACAAAGACCGGCTGCGCAAGTTCGGCTGGGCGTTGGGACTGTCGGCCCTGTGGGAGTTCTTCCCCTCATACATTGTGCCCTGGTTCGGGGGCATCTCCGTCTTCTGCCTGGCGTCGATGAAGGCGCCCTTGCATCTCCGGAGGGTGTTTACCACGCTCTTTGGGGGGGTCTCATCCAACGAGGGGATGGGTATCTTCAATTTCAGCCTGGACTGGCAGTACATCCAAAGCACGTATCTATCGCTGCCGATCAAACAGCAGCTGAACAGTTGGATAGGGTACGCCATTTGGTATGTTGCCATGCCGACGCTGTATTACCGCAACGCCTGGAACGCCCGAGCCCTCCCATTCATGTCCACCTCGCTCTTCCTCAGCAACGGCACGCAGTTTGAGGCCACGGCGGTGCTCAACGCCGGCGGAACCGTCGACTACACCCTGCTCGATGGTCTGGGGACCCCCTTGATGACGTCCAGCACGGTCTGGGGCTACATCGCCATGAACCTGGCCATCGGCGCGCTCATCTCCCACGTCCTCATCTTCTACGGGAAAGACATGTGGACCGCCTGGAAACAGGCCCGGGCCCGCTCGCAGCCCGACCCTCACTACCAGGCGATGCTGCGGTACAAGGAAGTGCCCATGTGGTGGTACTGGGCTCTGTTCGGGCTGGCCTTTGTCGCAGGGCTCATCGTCAACATCAAGGGCCAGACCACCCTCCCGGTCTGGGGGTATATCGTTGCGTTGCTGCTGGGGGCGTTTCTCGCCCCCTTCTCGTGCGTGCTGTACGGCCTCTACGGGACGGGCGTCAGCACCAACCAGCTCTCCAAGATGGTCGCGGGGGCCCTCCATCCCGGGCGTCCGCTGGCCAACCTCTACTTTGCCAGTTGGTCGCACCAGGTCATCCTGCTGGCTGTCAACCTCGCCAACTGGCTCAAGGTCGGCCAGTACACCAAAGTGCCGCACCGGGTCATGTTCGCCACGCAGATCTACGGCACTCTGCTGGGCGCTGCGTTGAACTATGTCGTGATGACCGTGATTGTCAGTCACAAGCGCGACATTCTTCTCAGCGCCACGGGAAACGCCGTCTGGAGCGGCTCGACCATGCAGAGTCTGAACGCCCAAGCCATTACCTGGGCACTCGCACGACAGGTGTATGGGTTTGCAGGCCGCTACTGGATCGTGCCCCTTTCGTTGGTGATTGGATTGGCGTTGCCTGTCTGTCACTGGGCGTTGATCAAGCTCGTCCCCAGAGTCGGGGACTGGCATCTCAATACAGCCATCATCACCGGCTACGCCGGGATGGTCTACTACGGGAACACTTCATGGGTGCCCTCTTCGATTGTGGTGGGTGTGTTCTCGCAGCTCTGGCTTCGGCGGAGGCTGCCACGGATCTATAATCAGTATAACTATCTTATTGGGGCGGCAATGGACGGTGGATCGCAGATTGTGATTTTCATTCTCTCCTTTGCCGTCTTTGGCGCCAGTGGAAGGGAGCGTGCGTTTCCCACTTGGTGGGGGAATCCGACAGGGTATGCAGATCATTGTGTGAGTACTTGACAGCAGTATAGGGTGGAGATGAGAATAATATTCTTTATAACATGTTCATGTGGCTTGAGCAGTGTAAATAGTCGTACTATATACAGTATATAGTGGGCAGACTGGCAAGTAATATCTATAGAGTATACTATGGAATTCTATTATAGTATCATATATTTCTACCTCATCAACAGATATTCAGAGGATTCAATTCATATATATTGAGTACAACCTATTTCATTAAAGTCTCAGGCAGAATGGAGTTTCTCTAAGTATAATACAACATCTGAGGTGAGAGTTTATACACATCATTATAGAATGCTTTTACTGATCTAGATCATATAGTTAGCCCTCTCTAAGCAGCAAAAGAGATAGCGAGACTCACCATGAGCCAGTATGCCCCCCTTTTCTGCAGCAACTCCTGATGCGAGCCCCGTTCGACAAGCCGCGACCCTGTCCCGTCATGATTCTCCCCAAAGACGAAGATGACATCTGCCTTTTGAATAGTGGCGAGTCTGTGCGCAACAGCGATGATCGTGATGCTCCGGCGGGCAGCCAGTCTTTCCAGAGCGGCCTGCACGAGTTTCTCCGACTGCGAGTCCAGACTTGAGGTTGCTTCGTCCAAGAGCAGCAGAGATGGATTGCGCAAGAGGGCGCGTGCGATGCACAGCCGTTGTCGCTGGCCTCCACTGAGAGCTGTCTGTGCTCTGATGCCCAGCTGTGTCGAGTATCCGTCTGGAAGGGAGGAGATGAAGCTGTGGATCTCGGCATCGACGCATGCCTGAATCAGTCCGTCTTCGGTATACTCTGAGCTGTCCAGCCCGAGGGTGATGTTATCGCGAATGCTGCCTTCAAACAGCCGTGGCTCCTGGGCGACCAGTGACAAGGATCTTCGGTACGACGCTGCATCAAGACCGGCGATGTCCTCACCATTGAGGAGAACAGTGCCCTGCGTCGGATTGTAGAATCTCTCGAGCAGCGATACCAAGGTGGTCTTGCCACACCCCGATGGCCCTACAAAGGCAGCAAACTGGCCGCTTTCGATGGTGAGGTCGAGGTTCGTGAACAGAGGGGTTCGCTGTGAGGCGTATTGGAATGCAAGATTCCGGAACTCAACGCGAGCGCCAGACCCGCGGGATAGATGGGAAATAGTCTGTCTGGAGGCAACACGAGTGTCGTCCAACGCTGGTCGGAAGTTCAGAATGCGGTTCGCAGAAGATGTCGCCTGTGCGACATTGGGCCCGAAACTGAAGAACTGGCCTGCCTGTTGCCCACCGAGGATGATGGACATGTACACGACATAGAAAGAGGTGGGCTGGTACTCTCTGGAGGCAAGAAGTTGGCCGCCGTACCAAAAGGTCAGCGCCATGGCACACAGTTCAACGCTATCGGAGAACGCAAACACCAGGGTGGCCAGCAAGGCTTTGCGGAAAGCGTGACGCTGTTGCTGTTTCAGAAGACCGGCGTACCGATCCAGGATGAAACCCTCCATGGTCAGCGCCGACACGGTGCGAAAGGCCTCGATCGCTTCTGCTGCAAACTGGGAGCTGCCTGCGTATACCTCGGCGTTTAGAGCCTCGAACTGCAGTTCATACCGGATGCGCATGAATGCAGCCAGGAAGACGCAGGGCAGCGCGGCAAACACCGTGACCAGACTCAGCTTCCAGCCAAAGGAGAAAGCGATGGCGATGCAGCCTATCATACTGCAGACCGAGATGACTGGAATCAGGCCGTTCAGCCCGATCAGCTCCTGGATCTGCTTGGGGTCGGTGGCCAGGCGCGAAACGAGCGAGCCAGAGGCATTCTCGTTCCGGTCGTAAAACGGAACAGGCTGTCTCAGAATATTCTCAAAGTATTCCGTTCGACAAGACGCGGAGACTTCCTACACTTTGTGTCAGATAGATCACTCGTATCATAGTCCTTTACTGACAGCTTCGAGTCTGTTCCCCGAGTATCCGACGGCGGCATAGCTGACTGCAGCGCCTAAAGATAGAATGAAGAACACCAGGGCCCAGAAATTGCCGGCTGCGGTCAGTTTCGTCCCCGAGAGACTGAACACATTGACGAGATGTGCAAAGAGCCAACTCTGTAGGGGGAAAGCAGCTGGTGCTGGAGTTAGTCAAGTATAGGCAGATGGATTGATAGACACCTTACATGCAGCCCCCAGAACCCCCAATGAAGCAGTCAGGCAAAATACCCAATGTTTCCGTGTCTCGTAAATGAAAACCCCAGCGCTTCGAAAGAAGCCCCGGTCTTTGATCTTCTCCAAGTGCTCGTCTTGAGGGTGCTCAGAGGTATCGGGAGTGGACTGAGCAAGTTCCTCCCTCAAGGCTTCCACAACCTCCATTGAATCGGCTGCTTCTTCTTCTTCTTCTTCTACCTTTTCTTCCTCTGCGGTGAGTACGAGTCTTTGGGCATTGACAAAGCCTTGGTATAGCCCGTCCGTAGACAAAAGCTCCTCATGCGTCCCTGCCTCGGAGACGACGCCATCGCGGAGAACGAGAATGCGATCCGCGCGCCGGACGGTAGACAGCCGGTGTGCTATCACTATGGTGGTGAGGCTTTCAGAGACGCGGTCAAGGGCTGCCTGGACGATCTTCTCGCCACGGACGTCAATTGCGCTGGTGGCTTCATCCAGAATCAAAATGGTGGGCTTCTTGACGATGCTGCGGGCTATGGCCAGCCGCTGTCTTTGGCCGCCACTCAACTTGGTGCCGTTCTCTCCCACAACAGTGTCGTACCCCTGAGAGGGTTAGATGGGCACCTGCAAGGATGACAGTTGAACATACCTTTGGGAGACGCTCAATAAATTCGGCTGCAAAGGCTTCTTGACACGCATCCTGCACCAATTTGGCCTTGACAGAATCCGGCTCCTTCTCCCACCTTGTGCCGACAAGGCCAAAGGAGACGTTGTTGAAGATTGTGTCGTTGAAGAGAAACGGCTCTTGTTGGACGAGTCCGATTTGAGACCTCCACCACTTGAGATCCAACTGTTGGATGTCTCGTTGGCCCACCGAGATTCTTCCTTGGTCCGGCGTATACCATCGCTCCAGAAGAGCGACGATGGTGCTTTTCCCAGACCCTGACGAGCCCACCAATGCGGTTGTTTTGCCTCTCTCGAATCGAGCGTTGAGTCCCTGCAAGATCGTGCTCTCTGGCCGTGTAGGGTATGTAAAGGCCACATCCTGGAAGACGATATCACCCTGCGCTAATGCTGCAGAATCACAAAGCCCGCCGGCGACAATCTTCTCTGCGTCGATGATTTCAAAGAACGACCTTGCTGCGCTGGCCGCCTTGAACACCATCGTCAACGGTGTGGCAATGTTCCCAAGGACACTTACTGCGATCATGATCGAGAAAAATACGCTGCGAACGCGCAAGTCAGTAAGGAAAACAGTATTAGCAGCGCCAGTTGGACTTTACATGATGACCGTATCAATGTTTGGGATGTGGCCCTCCCGGTAGAGCTTCAGACCCAGCCAGAAAGCCAACGCGTAACTGGCGTACATGGCAAAGAAAATGAAGCCAAACTGGACACCCATGACGATCGCCATGCTGCGGCCCCTGTTCCGGGATTCGGTGACCCAGTGTCGGTATGTCTTGGCTAGAGGCGCTTCGGCGCCCAGCGAGATGACAGTCCGAATAGAGCCAAATACTTCGGCAGCGGTAGCCGAGTGTTTTTCATCTGTCTTATCCACCTGTCGTTGGATCCGAGTGACAACGGGCAGCGTCAGGCTGGTGACGATGAGAAGGAAGACAAGGGACGAGCTGGTGGCTAGAGTAAGGGCCCATGAGTACTTGAAGGCGATGATGTATGCGGCGATCAAGAGGGCGCAGGATTGAAAAAGGGTCGCCAGCTTGTCCGAAATGCTCTGCTGGATCGAATTGGAAAGATTGGTCACTGCATTAATCACCGTCCCTACCGAGACTTGGTCCAGTTTGCTGATCGGTTGGGAGAAGAGCGCATTCATGTACTCCAGCCGCAAGGCGGCGGAGACCCGAAGACTGATGACGCGAAAGCAGTACTGGGAGTGAATCAGCTTCTTCAAGATTGGGATATTTCGGGGCATATCCAGCTGATTACCATGGAGAAATACGTCAAGGTGAATTTTGCAATGAAGAGATAAACAATATACAGACTTCCCGAGGGTTATTTGTAGAACTCTGGAGCAGAATCAGGTTGACGCCTACCTGAGCCTACTGACCGACGCTTTAAACTGGGCTTCGGTGGTCGAGGAACCAGGAGTGAAGTATGAACTGAAGTTGCCAACCAGTCCACCAAGAACAATGTTCATGATCGGTATGGGCTAATACAAGATCAGAGACATCATTTGGCTTCAAAACCCTAACCCTAAACCCTAAAAAAACCAGCGAGACACGTACCACACCAGACCCCACGGAGCATATCAGACCGACGACTAGGACCATCCGATCTTTTGGAGTCGTATAAGAGAGGACTCTCTGCGTTTATCAGATACGGATCATATCGACGACTGCATGGGCATACAAAATAGTCCTTGAGCGAGGTAGACTGCTCCGTCACATCTTTAACTTCAGGATTCTCTCTCTGTGCCACAGTTTCCTGTGGAGAGACATTTGAGAGCCCCATCTTTCTGGAGAGGCGGAAACATTAATGAAATGAAGTATAATGCAAAGGATTTCAGATTTCATTATATATCCAAAGGGTTAGTTAGTATAATATGATAATCTAGGCAACACTCCAGATGAAAAATACGAGGTCGATGACAGGATGAGTCAATCTCACTCCCCCCCCCGGACTTTCGGGTTTTGCAAACCCCCAGACTCCGGGAGAACTTGGTTGGTGCTCTAAAGGTGGAAGTCCGCGCGAAAACAATATCTTTCAAATACATAGATATATACATCAGAATGAACATGTGCATATAGTACCAGATGCTTAAGGAATGAACTAAGAAACTGTTGAGGAATAAATGAAGGAGTCAATCTAGGGTCATCTTTAAATCGGGCTTTAGTAAGAAATTAGTAGTTATAGTAATAAAATTGATTAAGTGATCGTAAGGCTGTAAACATGTATTTTTTGTAAGAAAAGCGCTTTCGCGGACTGCCGACTAGTGACAGTCCGTTGAACTACGTTTCCCTACTTCTTCATTCCACTCCCTTCAGACCGTTTCTAGAAACAATACCGGAGATGGGCACCCGGCACGCTGTGAAAAATATTTCGGTAAGCTTCTCCATCCACAGCTCTAATCAAATCCTGACCAAGACTTTCTAGTGCACTCGCTGCCAGTCTAAAAAGGTGGATTCTCTTTGCAGTCGAATTATAGACCACCCGGAGTAACGGGTTCTTAGATTCGATGCAATCGCGCCGCCCCTCAATGTGAAAAATGCAAAGCTATTGGAGCTGAGTGTGAATACCTGCCACGGAAGTCCCGAGCGAAGAAACAGGGGTAAGGCTTCAATAACTGGTTCCTCGACGTTTGAACTCACAGGAGACGTTAGGAACAACAACGCCGAGAATGGTCTTCTCTTGGATATTCTTGATCGTCTTAAACGCCTGGAAAAACATTGTGGCCTAGAGAAAGGTCGAGAAAGCGATGAAAATGGCCGTCGTTTGGTGTCCTCCGACACCGTTGGTTTTGTCCCATCGGATGAATCCAGCTTGGTCAGTGGGATCTTGTGTCACATCAAAAATCCCAAGGGTAAAGCAATGCTTCTCTCCAGTGTATTCAATCCACTGCGAGCGACCAAATGGTGGTTTTTCAACAATGAACGCTGCATGAGGGCCATCACTGCTGCAATGGCGGAAATCGAGTATGTGCAGACCGCACCAGTAAACGAGCCACCAGCGAGTCCTGAAATGTCAAAAGACATGGCGAAGCACTTGGTCCAGGGCAGGTTCGTCTCCTATCTCCATTTGCTTGCTTGCTAACCGTCCTGTTCAGAGTTTTATACCCGTTTCCAATTCGAAGGACACAAAATTCCCTTGGAGAAAGGCTTTTTGCTTTCCATCCCTGACTTATTAGAAAACCCTCATGTTCAAATTGACTACCCATGCCAAATCATTTACCATACCGTTCGTATACGAGGGATTGTTCTGGATACCAGTTCTTACGAGGATAGCGTCGGCCTTCTCAGACACCTTCATCAGGCGTGTCTGGCCCTCACCGATCGCTGGCTCGATCGGATTCAAAATACCCCTGCTGACATGGAGGCGGCTTTTTCAATGGTAAGTGAAGTCATCAAACTTTCAACCGAGATAAAGCAGAGCCAACGCCGGTCCAGGTGTCGATGGCGCTCGAAGCTTGCGATAGCGATTTGGCGTGGAAGATATTCGGCCATGCCTGCACCATCGCCCGGTCTTTGGGGTATTTTTCAGTAGATACAGATCCAGCAGATCCAACAGAGGCAGCTCCCGCGAATGAACCGGCGACCAGCGAGACCGAAGTAGAGAAGAATCGAAAACGGTTCACGTTCTGGCATCTAATTCGAACAGATCATCTCTTCCGCCTCTCCTACGGCAAGCCGACTCTTATCCCCGCGGGCTCCTGGAAGGTCAACTTCCCAGATCCCACAATCAGTGGCGTCGATGATGAATCTTCTCGCTTTATTCAGATTCACTTTCTGGCTTCCATGCGACTTGCCCTGGTGGTGATGAAGTATCTAGACTGGATTGACTCGGGCCCAGATCCTGACCCGATTTTGCATGATGCAACCGTGGACGGCTTCCTTGAGGAGGTGCAGTCAATCATGTCTGATTGGGATACAGTAAGATTTGGATCTGGTCCTGCCGTCGGATAATTACATTCTCACCTGTGTAAAGGATAAGCTTCTTCTAATGGCCAAGACCGGGATCGACAAACGGTACTACGCGGATATGATCTCCGGCAGCTACAAGATTCTCATTGTTCTTCACCAGTCGAAGAAATACCACCAAGAAAGGTGCCATTTACCACAGCATACGGTGGATATCTCTAGGAAGTCTATACAGATGTTCCGGTCTCTCCTGGGACCATTATTGAACACCTATTGGGGAATCAGGTATATAATGAACTGTGTCTTGCTTAAAACTGCCTTTTGTGCCACTAATCCTTATATAGTGCCATTTTGCACCATCAGTTAATCCCTTTTTTTATTATATGCTTGGATATCATTGGGAATCCTGGTAGTGGTGACATCGAGACAGACCTCGCTTCAGTGACTTGGATCAGTGACTATGTCGAAAAGGTCGCCCAGGAGCGAGCTGAGCTGAGACCAGTGATGATGGTCTTCACGGCTATGGCTTCCGCTTGCCACCACGTCAATAAGGAGCGTTTGGCGTCTTCAATGGCAGGAAGTCCATTGACCAGCTCTTAGCAAATGCGGCGAGACTTGCATCTGTCTATTTCTTGGCGACGGCTCCAACAACCTGATCATTCTTGTTTAGCATGACATTTATGGCGCATTTCCTTCTTCAAGAAGATTCTCAATCTTTGGCAGAGGGAAATACTTTTTTTTCTAGTAAATTGTGTCGGCAGTGCGAAATTGCCGACTGGTTATATGAGAAGTATATCAAAGTTGTATCTAATATACAGGAGATAGAACATCAGAAGATAGATGCCTATTAACTAGTACCTTATAGACACTTCTCTAATCAACTTTTGCTAATGGTCACAACTAACCCTATACCACCTTAAACCAACTATTCACCTGCATTAATCTCAAACAGAAACATGGCATTACGCCGCGTATACCTCCTCACAGATATTTATTCTGCGTTCGAAAAAATCCGATAATAAAACAAGCGAATAGGCGAATAGCTGAAGCCATCTATGACCTCTTCTCGATGCAGCGCAGGCGAGAGTCGCCAAATTTCTGCAGGGGTTAGTATCGAGGTTGAAAATCAGCAAAGCATTTTTCTCTCTATAATCACTTCAGTGGGTAGAAGATTATTTTGCCTAATAATTTTAAAACGTGGCAGTTTCATCTCAATAAACGGAGTCAATGTGAAGCAGATATCGGATAATACTAGCATATCCCTAAAGTCACTTTGGCAGCCAGCAGAGCTTCAACAGTAAAGACTAAAAAGAAAGAGAAAAGAATAGAATAAAAAAGCATATATACTAGTAAAGACTATTTAATAAGCCAACCGCTCAAGCACGCCATTGCCTAGGAGATATTATAAAGATAGACAGGGCCAGCCACTTTGCTGGTGTCTTGGCTAAACCTGAGAATAGTATAGCTAATAATAGACATGGCGATATTCTGTGTAAATTATTGGATAATAATACTAACCAGGCTGATTGTTGCACCTCGGGGCATATTAAGCCGTTATTAAAGATGGTTTGTTTGGAAGCGTCCTGGTAGGGCACCAAAAAACTGCCGTTGAAGGCAGAAGCTGGGTTTTAACCAGTTGTGCAAGCATTTAGCTAGAAGTAGTTGGTATAAGAGGGTGAGATATTCAGACCATAAGTAGAGCCGCTAAAGTTACCAGTCTGTCGTCTTCTCATCATCTATATATCACATAAATCTACCTACTGACGACTGCACAATCCGGCGAAGAAGAAATTAGATAGAAATAACATGAGCCGCCTCAGGCACCCGCAAGGATAGCCTTGACTATAGTGAATAAGCTGAGTTATGGCTTTATAATCACCCTGGGAGACTAAGGCTAGTATTAGTGTAAATGTTTCAGTCTACCCAAAATGAGGAGGAGTCAGGACATCCTTATGATGAGAAACAATCTTTAAGGGGAAATTTGCCTTTATGGCTTCTCACGTGAAGCTGCTATATTCATTCACAAATAGCCATGACTATATGAATGGTATACTTGAGGTCATCCCAGTAGAATGGCTTCGATTCTATTTGACATTTCAAGCAAGCTCTAGATAGTAGTCTATATAATTGATATATAGGCTCAACCAGCCCCTAGTTATACTAGACTGATTTAAGATACACCAAGACAGTATCTCTTGTATAGCAACAGCCTAGCCAGTTCCTTCAAAGCTTTCACGCCCGACTAAAGATACATACCTAACGCGGCTCACATGAGTTGCCTGATAGAAAGCTAAGCATTTCTATCACTTATGCCCTTCCCTCCTGCTTCGCTGTAACAAGTTCCTTCTTCATCTGGTAGTCTGGGTCTGTTTCATCAATAATTCCTTCTTTTTCCAAATCATCCAGAAGTTCAAGAATGTAGTCTTGACAATTATAACCTGGATGTTCATTATGAATTGGTGCATTTCTCGCTGCTTCTTTGATCGCGGTAATATTGGAGGCAGGCACATCACACATATGGATGAGCTCAGAAATCGTAGCGGATTTTCGGGCGTCGGAGTCCCCCATCTCAAACCGGTAGTTGGTAGACGAACCCATGATATAGAGAATTGTCTTTTCCGCATCTGTGGGACCGTTGATGAAAAGGCTCCAGTGTTTGTAGACACCTACATCATTGTAGATGGCGACGTGAATTCCAGCTTAGGTGACATATTTGAAAGAGTAGCAAGCCCTGATTGAATCAAAGACAATTCTGTAGGAGATGAATCCTCTAACTGGAGAGTAGTGAAGAAAGTCAACTAGAATGAGGCCCAGAAGCAGGACAATATATATAATAAATAGGACTAGATAAAAGAAATCCACATGTGTGACCAAAATTGACTAGAGGTGATGGACAGGTTATCTCTAGTATAGAAGGGAGACATGATAGCTTTATAGATCATAAATCTTGAGGCATTTTCATTCTCAGTAAACTGCCATTCAATCATTTAGCGCCAAAGGATCCCCGCTCGTAAATGGTGCGCCTAGATAAGCTATGTAATTGGTTATAGAAGTGTTCCCTAACCTCTAAAATACTATACAACTCAGCTTCAAAGAGCTCGTCTGAGTGAACGCCCCCAGTCGTCGTCTCAGCCGAGTCTGGTCGAAACTATAGCTACAGACCAATAGTTTTAACCCACCAAGCCCCGAGCGCCAAATCTAACGACCAGAGCGCCTCAAACTGTCTAATTATCGCAGGAAATCACGATCCAAACCCCAGGATGTGTTCTTATGACGGTTCATATATCTTGGCAGGTGGTTTCGCGGCGACCAATAGATTATTAGATTGACCGTATTCTGGTTTCTATCTGGCCACCTAGTCATTTGCAGGCTTTGAGCTATGTGGTCCTGACATGAATCCCCCAAAGTCGATCAACTAGCCAACGTATAGGGAATTCTGACGGCGAGATAACCCGTGGCAAGTAAAGATACCAGTCGTCTTCATCCACCAAGCTCTGGGTGCGTGTTAATGTAGTACACTCATAATACGGCGGGTAGAAACCACTGTCCTCCCAATCAATGACCCCAGTAACAATATAACCATCAGTGGTACCGGGATCCTTCTTCACCATGATATTGTCGGTCCTAACATCGCCGTGGGTGAAAACAGATCCTGCTTGCAAATTTTCATGGTCCAAGAGCGATCGAAGGAGCTTGACATATGAGTTGCTGCCGTGGTGACGAGCCGAGAACTGCAAATTGCTGAACTCGACTGATGTGGTGATGCCTTTGAATAAACCGCATTCGTCAACGCGCATCTCTTTGACCCCTTCGCCGTGAACCCCCCCAAGCAGTTTCCCCTCCGGTTGCCGAAGAGACCTGAGTCGACAAAATATCTTTTCCAGTTGCTGTTTGATAGACAACTTTTCCTCATGGGACATTTCAGGCCATGCGTGGGTCAATGTTGTCCCTGGAATGTAGGACATGAAGATAACGCGAAACGGTTCAAATTTGATCAAACCATGGGCCCTCGGAGCAGGAATATCAGGCGCTTTTTGGGCGAGAAACTGCATACTCGTTTGCTCCGTATAATCTCTGTTTCCCGTAATAACTTTGGCCACAATTTTCTCGTTGCATTTGACCACCATTCCTCTAACAGGGCACTCCCACAGCTTCGGGGAGTTCCAAAGTAGTTGCTTCAAAGACACAAGCAGTGCCTCGCTGTCATCACCCGGAACTTCTTTCAGACAGCCCCCCGAGAACTTTGCCAACAAATCGGCCACTTCGTTGGATAGTGGAAAGACAACTGTCGCAGACTTGGCAAGATCAAGACGTGTGCGGAAATCAGGGGCCTGATTTTTGATAGCAACTTTCTCGGATGAAGGCTTTGCGATAGGCCCAGTAGCCATCTGAATTCGACGATTATAATTTTTCGGGAACCTTGACAGAATATTAATTTCTGGTTCACGCCTCAGTAGATCGCGCATCCCATGCAACGTTCACAAGTTGATGGCTGCGGGATAGCACAGTTGAACATATTGGGAATTCCGATGTTGACGACGATATGAGTCAGAGAACATAGACAGTAGATCGGCCTCTGGATTCCTTTTCAGTTCGTTCTGAAACGCTAGCATGAGATCTTTATTCCATTGCGCTGCGTCAGGATGGGAGAGGGTGAGGGCTGCTGGGGATAACGCCTCGCCCATCTTCGCTGGCTTTGACAGAACGATAGGTTGATGGCAAAATATTGAACGCTATGGATTGCAAGTAAAGTATGAAGTTAGGAAGAAAAACAGGAGAAAGACAGCTCACTAAGAATAGATTATAGGGAATGTTTTCCTGAGGTCGCAAGTTCCAATGGATCTCGAATAAGCACAGGCCACCCACCAGGCGAGATTTGAATAATCCGCTCCGCGGTGGCAGATGGCCCGTGCTCATTTGAGATCTACTTTTATGACACGGTCAAGAAATTCGCAGTATTCCTCACCAATATCAGGTCTTCCAAAAGCATGAGACTGTTGTTTTAGCTGGGAGCAGCTTTGCTCGTGTTGAGCTTCAAGGTTTTTTATAATTGTTTCAGGAGAGAAGCTCTTGGGAGACGTTGTAGAAAAAATGTGCATGAGAGAGGTGATAATAATATAAAGTTATAACCTAGAATAAAAGTTTTATATTGAGCATCACTTAACTAATCACTAGTCACCCAGATGCTAATTACATGTATTTCTAATTACCATAGTTATCAGAGAAAGTAGCATATATAAAAATACAGGCCCCTATATTTGCTATGCTTGCCACGCAGTGATATATATCAGCTATAAAAGACCAGGAAAATATTCTGGCAACAGGCAACGTCAATATTAAGCTTTCGGCAGCTGATTATTCCTCTCACAGTGATCAAAAGAACTTCTAACCTGCTATAAGATAATCACTGCTTCCCTTCTCATCTGTCTCTGCCAACTTGCAACGCAGGAATTGAGCACTGCATTCAGAAATCCTAATGATATCAATTCAAGGTAACCCTCGAGTAAAAATAGATGAGGCGGATTTGTCCTCTCAAGACAAGTCTACTACATATGATTTCTTCAGTAATTCAACTGGATTATATGAATACTCGTTCCTATTTCCCTTAGAACAGAATGCATCAGTGCCACTCCTGGGCTGAATAGGGGGCTATAGTCAGGGTTGAATTCATAGTATATGGTGAAGAATAACTAAATGGATTAGAGCTCAAACGTTCACATTATCATAGTCCAATTGGGAATCGAATTTGATGCGATTGGTGGCTATGGAGATCAGCTTGACGTCATAGAGCAGCTTGAGGACGGCCGGGTTGTCAATGCTGCCTCCCGCGGGAAACCTATCGTGCACCTGCTGGATCCGGGCGTTGATCCAGGAGGCTGCAAATCTGACCATAGTGGCGTAGAAGTCAGGCTCAAACTCCTTCCAGATGGACAAGAGGCCTTTCAGCTCGGGCATGTACTTGTCGGCCCTGGCGATTTCCATCAGGAAAGCCGTTCGAGCCTCTGTCAAGCCACCGAGACTGGCCTCAGCGTTGAGGTATTCAAAGACCCCGATTGTCTGTTTGTCAGTACCCTCCAGGTATAGCATTGACTTTATACAAATACCTTCTGCAGGGTCGTGGCTATCACCTTCGCCGCCGTCTCATTCCCTAAATTCACCGCGTCCAGAAAACCCTTGAATCGTCTAAGCGCCATCACATTATACCCTTTGACAAGATTCAGCTTGGCGGAATTGATATCCCGTTCGACAAAGGAAATGCCGGTGCGATACGCAAAAGACCCAATAACTTCAAAGATCCGATCGTTCGGCGTCACTGGAGGGGTCCAGCCTGCCACATCGGTAACCAGCGCTCCGATCCGGGGGAGTGTAGTATCGTAGACTTTATTCCATCCATTGATCAGCTTGACCGCATCCAGAATGCTGGATTGCATCGTTTTCCCGCTCGGAAGCGTCCCTGTCACCGCAGTCTTTATCAATTGGCCGACCATTTGGATCTAGATAGGTTGGGTTAACAAAATAAGATCGGGTTTGGTTAACAGGATCCTTGCTACCTCTTGCAGATGTTCAGCATTCCATCCAGTTTCGAGGATATCTTCCTTCTTGACAAACGATACAATTGTGGCAGAACAGACATCTTTGCCCATTCTGGGAATTGAGTTCGATTAGGGTTAGGGATAGATTAGGGTAAGGTGAGGTGAGGTGAGGTACTTACTTGTAACCCCCAAGGCGCGCCATTGTTCTCCACCCATCGCCTTGAAAAGTCTTAAATCCAGGCGCATAGCCCCGGCTGGTCATCTTCAAGGCTTGTTCCATGCTGCTTCCCAAGAGCTTGCCAATCTGTATGATCATCTCCCTGGGTTCGCCCGGACGGCCCTTGAGGACGTCGATATGAAGGTAGTCCTCGTTTCCCTCCTCGTCGTCCCAGATGCCGTCCTCATCGCCACACCATTCAGGAATGTCCTTGCATAGATCAATATCACACAGGAGATATGCCAGTGCTTCGGCATGCGGCTGGCAACAGAGGGCTTTTTCCTTGGACCCTTTCCAGAATCATTAGACAGATGGAGGATGGACCGATCGCCTCATTCCAGCACATGGGTCTATACTTACAAGGGCATGCAGACGGCTTATCGCCCAAGGCATCCCGCCAGAGCGTGACTTCATTGGCAGCGCAGTTGACATCGTCACAATCCCCCTCGCCAACCCAGTGACAATTATACAACGGGGTCGGCTGGATCTCATTGGAGCAGCAATAATAGTTCTGGGCATGCTCCGGGTTTGCCAGTCGACCTGATAGATCCAGGGCGATTGCCACCGAGTCTTCTGTTGAGGAACACTGATCGCCGTTAGACGTCCAACGGCAGCCATCAATCAGGGAAACCATATATCCGGCCTCGCAGCATAACACCTTTTCACCACGCTTGCACTTCTGCATATCGAGTTCTCCCCAGCTGGAGCTGGCCACTTTGACCTCCCCGACATTACATTCCCCATTGCAGATCCCATCAGATGAGTCTCCGCGCCACTGGCAGTTCTTCAGGCCAGCTTGGGGGGGGCAGCAGATGGGCTGAACACAGGAGGAGTCCTTGATTAGGGTTAATTTGGGTCATGGTTAGATATCACTAGGAGTAAGACGGAATACATCACCATTTGCACATCCGTGCGAATCGTATCCCACAGCTGTATCTGGTCGACAAGTCGTTGCCAATATGCCCGGATTACTGCTGCCGTCTGGCATTCGATAAACCGATTCGGCCCCTAGGTAGCATTTCTTCGCCAGGGAGCCATCCAAGACCTCCTTGGTCTGGACAGGGCCGGGCCCCATTTCCATCACTTTGATCCCGGTGAGGCCTGATTGGGCTTTCCAATCATAGTCATCTAAAAATTGGTTGGCGGTTAGGGTTGGGTTATAGAGCTGAGGGTGGATTCAGGTACCAAGATCAGACGCCCAGATTAATGAGCCTCCAATACCGATTTCGTCTGTCCACTCCTTCTTCTGGCCAAAAGTGTCCTTGTCGTCGTATGAGATCCACTGCGAGGGCGCCATCTTGCGATTCTTTGTGTTTGCCTTGATGTGGCCTGCGCTCCATGCAAAATACTTGACTGCAGCCTCATTGTCATGAACGATATTGATGTCAGGGTTACTCGACAGGATCTGCTCTATCTCATAATATGATAGATCTGAAGATTAGAAGGCATTGCGTTCGTCGCTCGACTATCTGACATGGATCACTTACATCCACTGGTTCCAGTACAGACACCAGGGTCCGCTCCTCCACTGAACGGACAGCCTGGGCTGGTACAGCCGGGGTCCTGCAGGGAAAAGGCACGCCCATAAAAGGCAAACCCGAGCGACACCTGCGCGGGATTCACCCGGACTCTCCAGAGAAGCTCGGCGGCTGTTTTTATCTCTGTCAGGTTGGTGTGGCCTTGCACGATGGAGCCGCTGTCAAGTCAGCTTGAAACAAAAAACCTAGGGTTACAGGGTACATGCATCGGATTAGAACTATCCCAGACTCCATGCAGGTCATAGGTCATCTATAAAATTTGTTTAGAAGTAGTAATGAAAGAGGACTAGGGTTAAGGCAGGGTACCCAGTTCATCCAGTCGGCATATTTCAACATGCCAGGTAGATCAAACCACCGTAGGTACCAGTACGATGAGGGTGCAGTAAAGGTGACGCCCAGCTTACGACCTGAGTTGGTGAAGGTGGTTCGCAGCGCTTCTAACAGATGAACATAATTCTGTGTGTCGTCTTTGCTGCCTCCGCGATCTGGGGCGCCGGGGTATTCCCTGGCATTGAAGTAATCAGCAAATACAATTGCGATACGTATGATCTATTGATCTTACCAATCAATGTCGATACCGTCGAACCCATACTGGTTCAGAAAAGCCAATGCATTTTTAGCAAATGTCCTTCGGTTTGTCTCCTCTCTCGCCAAATTGCCAAAGATAGGCTGCGTGGCTGTATCATTGTCGGAAAAGCTCCACCCACCCACACTTATAAAGATATTGAGATTTGGGTTAGTAGCCTTGAGAGCAGCCAGATCATCAAACAGGCTGAGCGGCGTGGCTCCATCCATTGTCGTGAGGGTCCATGTAGACGGATCGATGTATGCAAATGCGTAGTTGAGATGCGTCAAGCCATTCACTAAATTCTGAGTATCCAAGCCTCTCTTTCGCTTTCCGAGGTAGAAATCCACCTACCTGGGAGATCCTTGGGCGATGTTTGGTGGCATTTGGACCGGGCACTCCAGGCCTCATAGTAGCCGATCACTGAGCAAGTCAATGGAAGAGTAGAAAAGATCACAGTGGCGGATTACCTTTTGATAGAGTCTGATTATTTGGTGAGCCCGGCGGAGGCTGGGGGTGTAAGACACAATTAGACTGGCAACCAGCACCGCAGAACTCTAGTGGGAAGATTAGATTGGTGATGTTCGATTACGCTTCCATTAGGGCTTGGATGGGAGTCTGCTAAACTCACCCTCTGTAGTACCGCAGAAACCGTATTGCGAGCAGCTGATCTGTAAGCAAATCCACCCCAGCTTCAGCATGAATATAACCAGAACCTACCATGTGTTTAGCGGACAGGTCTTGCCTGGCGGATTGGCAAATGGACCACACTCTGAAGTGGCATCACAGTTGCTCACACACCCAGAGCCACAGAACGAAGGACCAAAGCCACAGTAACCAGCGCCTGAGAGTCAGTCAGAATCCTAGTCCTCCTTCAACAACTTACTGCTACAGCATCCAACGCGGCATGGATCTGGAGGGTTAGAGAATTGGATGCTATATAAAAGACTAAGGTGTAGATGATACTCACGGCCAGGACCACACATAGAGTCATCGAGGATTCTCAGAGACCTTTCGTCCCTAGACCATGCAGAGCCTGTCAGAGCCAGGAGCCAAAGCCAAGAAGCCAGCATCTTGAAGAGTAGGTGGAGGTAATCAAGAAGTGATAATGTGGTTCACAACTTCTCCCACCAGACCTCTGATGTTTATCTTATAGTATATAGAACTATAATGTAATACAGTAACCGGCAATTTATCTTATAAAACACCCATCATGAGATGGGGTTGCAAAGCAGCCGGCTCTTTTTATAATCCTTGCTCCGGAGGATTAGATTTGTTACACAGGTGTATATCCTGTGCTGAAGATGTAATACATAGATACTCTTATATGAGGACTCAAAATAAATACCTCAGTATCCAAGATATCTCATCCACCTTCTATGATTTACTCTTGTGCATACAGTACCATGGCAAAGTTACTCGCAGCACTCCTTCTGCTTCCCATAGCCCTCTGCCAGCAGGTCAATGGCATCTCTTACTCCTTTGACCGGATGGGACTGAGCTCTTCCTGTCTAGATGCTGTCAATACCACTGTCTCGTGTCCTGCATGGTTGCCTCTCCATATCGGCTTTGAGTACTATTCCACCCATGCCTCACTTATTCTGAACATATGCTTATCTATAGGGACGCTACTGTCAAGCTCTTACCTGAGGATCAGTTGAATGACCTTTGCGAAACCCCATGTCTGGATGAACTAGCTGCTCTCCGTCCACGTATCCAGAGCGCGTGTAATGCTTCAACTGATGTGATGATGCCACGATCCATCGCATATCCGGCGACATATATCGTGGATCGATACCTGTATGGCGCCAAACTCTCCTGTTTGAAAGACTCGTCAGTACTTACCCCCCTGCCAATTACGCATTCGATTTTGCTGGCTAATTCGATCAGGTCTACAGGCAATTACTGCGATGTGCAGATTGCACAGTGGAATGAAAGCGAGCCTCAATACAATTGGAATTGCTCGGCGTGTGGGCTGGAATTCCAACGCATCCAGCTGGGATCACCCTTTGGGTACTACGCCCAGGAAGCGAGGGATTTTGCCTCGCTCACGGCCAGCTGTGGTGTATCAGGGTATACATATACCAAACCGACCCCCTACGCAATCAATGCGAGCGCGACCATCACTGCCACCAGCCCAATGTGTACAGCAAGCTCCTACAGCGTCCAGAAAGAGGATACCTGCGTAACCATCTCTGGAGCACAGGGGGTGTCTACCTTTGGATTGATCCAGGCCAACCAGCTGGACCTCGGCTGCTTCCATCTCGCGCCGGGGCAGTCGCTCTGTCTGCCACCAACATGCCAGACACATCAACTGGAAATGCTCGAGACGTGCCAGACGCTAGTCAAGGAGCAAAACATCACCATGGCACAGCTCCTGGCCTGGAATCCCATGATTGACACGGGCTGTACCAATTTGGCGTCGTGGAGGGGATGGTATCTATGTACAAGGTAAGCAGGAGCTTACCCCAATCTCCCAATAAGATAGCTATAGTTATACATCTAATTGATCAGTTCACCAGGTGGAACAATCACAGTCCAGCCAGCCGATGGGACAGCAACGACCCCAGCTCCAGCTCCCACGAATGCACAGGGTCAATCTAACCATAATTGTGGCCGATGGTACCAAGTGAGCATACGCTATTCTATACTATATATATTTCATTTGGGATCATATTCATAAGACAGGTTCAACCCTCGGATTACTGTGCCGCCATCTCAGTCAAGTTCCACATCACATTGAACGACTTTTACTTTCTCAACCCACAGGTAGATCATGACTGTAGCAACCTGTGGCTCGGCACCTCGTACTGCGTGGCTGCCGTGGGTGACATATCCACATACCCCAACTACCCCGCGTCTACTGCCTCCGTCACATTCACCCGCCCTCCCCCGCCCCCCGCATTTACCCCAAAGCCGGTCCCCGCAGCGCCCCTGAAGCCGAGAGCCCCGGGCACGGTCGACAACTGTACGTTGTACGGAAACGCTCTACAGTATGAGAACGGCATGTTGGCCGATATGATGAACAAGTGCGACATGTGGGCGGCGTGGGCGGGCGTGACTGTCGCGCAGCTGATCCGCTGGAATCCGAGTCTGCGTCCGAGACCGTGTGTCTTAAGTAAGGAATATAGCTACTGCATGGAGAAGAGTATGAATGGTGAGTTTTCTTCTTTTCTATCCTCCTTTCTTTCTCTAATCTTCTAGTTCCACCATTCGGTTACTGCATGGAACCAAATACAACTCTCATCCCATCCACGTCAGTACAACCATCTAGTTGCGATTGCTATATTCAATTCCGAGCCGCTGATCAGGAACAATTCACCTGTTCCATGTTCCCGGCTCTCTTCCACATCTCTGTGGCAGAGGTGACAGCCCTGAATCCGTGGCTCGGATCTGATTGTGATGGGCAGATATGGCGGTCGATGTCGGGTGGATTTGTCCAGCTCTGCGTTTACGGTACATGAAGATTATATTTAAAGAGAAAAATCACTAGAGAATCTGTATCTTGGCTAGGTATAGTTATAGCTCTATAGAAGATAAGCCTGTTCCACGCTTGCTGAAAGCTCCTATAATTAGGATTCGCAGAGACTTGTACAGTCGCCTTCCAGTGTCTGCTAATCCTTGCTAAAGAGGAGTTTAGATTGCACCATGCATAAAGGTATAAACCCTAAACCCTAGTCTAGATGAGTATGTTAGCTGACTGGGAAATTAAGCCAGACCGATAGTCAAGATACCCTCATTGAAGAATAATATATAGCTTATTGCGGCTGTCATTGGAACCCAACTGTGAAAGATATAAAGTTATTAATCCAAGATCAGCAACTCTCTCCCTGCTTATCTTGAACGCCCTAGGGCTAGCGACATCAATTTCACTCTATATAATCGTTTATTTAGATGTGGCGATCACATACGACCACAGGGTGTGGAAAATAGGGCTTCCCGTCCGCTCAGCCGTACTCAAGCCACACGCCGGTAGGTTAGTAGTTGGGTGGGTGACCACCAGCGAATCCCTACTGTTGTATGTTTTTTTATACTTGGCCGTTGATTGAGTAATGTATATACTTTCCTTTAACTAGGGGTAAAGAAAGTATGTTCTTCAAGGGATAGGGTGCAGGGTTTAACTGATTATTGAATTGAGTAATGTGTTTTGTAAAAGGCATCCAATATCTATAGCCAGTATACTGAATATACAACATCTCAACTACGACCGGACAATCTCCAACACGGCTTGAACGTCATCTTCTGCGTGGCGGCGCCATGCATGCACCATTTTCAAGCCCACCGAATCGAAGAGGTCTTTGAATTGACCCTCGGACCGCTCCAAAGAGGCAAAAATCGCCATCATCGTCGCATCAGTGACAACATCGCCGGGGTTTGTCTCGTGCAAGGCGTCTGGGAAGACACGTTCAAAGACAAAGAGAACGGACTCGGGTCCCATTGCCTCCCGTATATGGGCCAAAATCTGTCGCGCCTGCACATCCGGCCAGTCGTGCAGGATGCGGGCAAGAAGATAGACATCTGCACTGTGGACGGGCTGGGGATCAAAGAAGCTATGCACCATCTGTTCAATATTCTGGCTGCCGTCCGTGCAGCGGTCCTGATCCTTGAGAGCCGACACATCTTATAAGACAAATCGGCGTGTGAGATGAGGACACCGTTTCATGAACGCCTGGAGCTCTTGTCCATACCCTCCTCCAACATCAACAAAGGTGAAGGGTGTTTGATTGGAACTGACTAGTTCCTGGAATCGATCTTCCGTCAGATAGTCAGTCCAGTTGGCTGATGTCGAGCTCTTGGAGGCCTCCATCATGCGGTGGAATGCGTCGCGTTCTGGGGTGTGCGTGTCCAGCCAGTCGAAGAAGTGCAGGTCGGTGTTCAAAGCGTATTGGAATGGACCTGAATATCCATTGTCTGGAATCTGATATTTGGTTTCCTTCAAATACCATGGAAGCCGGACAAACGGCGCTGCATATAGCCCACTATAGTATAACCATCAGCATGAGAATGGTATTGCGAGTGGCTTTGAAAAACTAACTGACCTTAAGAGAATGGAGTCGTGGACTATGCTCTTAGGAGTGACGCTTTGGGAAAACCTGGTGGCCTTGACTTTGCCCTCCACCGTCACGTCAAAGAAGCCGACAGCAGTCAGAAATCTAACAATGCGGCCTGAGACAATTAGCCATGGGGAGAGTCACCGACAAGCCAACCTCACCTATGAGAAGCGGATCAGTTTTCGTGTGTGCGGCAATCTCAGACACATGGAATTCCGCGCCAGTCTCCTTGTGCTCGTTGAAGAGATCAAAGATGCCTGTATCGACGGCCAACTTCAAGAATGGGAGCTCATAGCACTGATTTCGATTGAGAACGGGTTGAAGAGGTGGGAAGAAGATCGCATACCCCAGACGTAACCCTTCTCAGTCTATCCAGCGGGGTTTCAAGGCGCGCCGAAAGCTTTTCGCACGCTTGTCGAAGACGTTGACGTTGTTCACTGTTAATGACCTGAGGATCGGACAGAGACTCGGCCTGATTGATGCATGAGATGAGACTGTTGTAATCCATTTTACAGAATGGGGATTGGAAGATTGGAAGAGTCTATACGGGATTGAATGACTTATTAAGGTGAAAATATACAACTTTATATTAAATATATATATATTATTACTACTGATCTCTTGCATTTCATACCTTGATGGCACCTATTCTTAAGAAGGCTGAATATAGTTCTCGACACGTCTCTACTTTCTATACCCACTTTACTGCATAAGATGCATATTGATCTAGCGGTGAAGCATCCGATTTAAATGTCGTATAGACCACGGATTGTGACGCCCTGCAGATATACGTGGCTGGAATGCAAGGTGACCAGATTCATGCTTGGTGATACTCCGTATATCCATTGTATCTATTGTCTATTGACTTACACCAAGTGTACCGTACCAGCACTCGAGTAGAAGATCGCGGAATCTCTCTTCCCTCAGCGCCGCGGACTGGACGTGGTTGCTGACGGGATGGTTGAGATAGCCCAGCTCCGAGGCGTACGCGGCCGACCATCTGCATGGCTCGGGCTTCTCGGTGAGGGCAAGATTGTAGGCGTGTCTGAGCAGGTCAGCACACGCTTCGCACACCGGAAGCAAAGGATGAAAAGCATCACCGAGACACCGTGACGACGGTGCTCAGGTCCAGGGATTGGCCGTCAAGGGAAACTAGAGTCTTGCGGGACAGAAGATCGCGGACCTCGCGGCAGGCTTGGAGGGTGATACTGGTCAAGGTGGTGTGCGTTTGATCCCAAGGGGAGGCCTCATGGCAAAGAGAAGACTTGAACTCGTCCATTTCGTGATATACTTGGTATACGAAGCGAAAGATGGATGGCAGGCAGGCCGTATCTATGTATGTCGGTTGTATTATCCGTCTACTCTGTAGATTCGGTGCTTTCCAGCAGTGACAGTCAACTGACGCATGCAAGGGATGCAAAGGTCGATCTCCGAGTCCCCGAGACATCCGCTGACATCGATGCACAAGTACAGACAATAGTCTGATGCCAGCGGTGTGGACTGAATTAAAGACAGCGTTAGTGGCATCGTATTCAGATCGACATAGTCTTGTAGTATTCTATCTAACCCCAAGATATACTTGGTCCACCAATACTCGTACTCGCCATCAGAACAACATCATTTCTGGTGATGCTTAGCCCTTACGTCCAAGTATGTCTGTGTCCACTAGATCAATGCACTGAAGAGCAGCAACTGTCAGTTTCCTTCTCAATAGATTAGACCTGATGGCATAAATATAAGGAGTACCAATAAGTAACACAATCACAGTCCATTCCAAATTAATTCCAGTCCTACCAATCATTCTATCTACCATGGAAGAAGCAAAGAATGCCGGCGTTTTCCCATTCACCCCTCAAAAGACCGACTCCAGACGTGTCAATGTGCTGACGATCTCTGGAAACCTGCTGGAAATCCAGGCTTCTTGCGTCAAACACGGCATCGAGCTGTCCCGGTTCTTCATGACGGTGTGGGCGATTGTCTTCTGGCAGTTCTCCGAGAAGGACTGGCTCTGCTTTGGGTTCTCAGACCTGACCAGGGACCGGAAAACGAGCGTGAAAGCAAGACTTGATGCTCGGACTCGACTCGATTCCCTGCTTCGGGGGGAGAGTCTGGATCCTGATGCACAGTCGACGAATGAATGCAACACGGCAGTGCTCATTGTCAAGGATGATTCAAGAGACCCAGCGGAGTGGCTGGCCAACTCGGTAGGTTTGATATACTAGCATACCTGCTGTCTTGTCGTATACTCATCACTACAGGATCTCAGTCTCGTGGTCGATCTCGGGCATCCAGGAAGCCTGCAACTCGTCTATCGATCGTCGATGCTGTCGGATTTCGAGTCCCGTAGCCTCGTCTCGACCACATCCCAGGCCATCGCCAGTATATCAGACGTTCCGGCCGTGCAAATCTCGCAGCTGGCGCTGTTCAGCCCTAAACCCTCCAGATAGACTCTCCCCAGGGTGAACCTTGTGCTGACTGACTATTGAGCGCCTCTGGACTCTACGATAAATCACTGTCCGAAGCAGTCCTGGACGCCATGGATTTCGAATATCCGATGAGAACAGGAGACAGCGTGCAATGGTATCGAGTCGCGGGAGGGACAAGCCGAGTGATTGAGGAGATGGAAAGACGCATTTCGCGCAAGCCTGAACTGGATACCCGCGTTTCATCCATCGCATACGAACCGCAGAGAGATCCCTCACACCCGATGTCGGTTCACGTCGACGGAGAGGCCCATCCCCGGAAATACTCGGCCGTGTTCAACAGTGCCAGCCTGCCCTGTATGCGCCGAATGAAGATGGGGCCAGAAACGCTGCGCCCCGGCCAGCGGGCTGCTATCCAGTCTGTGCATTACGATGCCTCGACCAAGATCGCCATCAAAATTCAAGTCTGCGTGGTGGACGCGATACTGCGGCATCCAGTGTGGCCAGGCGTCGACAGACCTGGTGATTCGGACGTGCGTGTATCCCTCGCCAGAAGGAGGGCAAACATGCACCGTCCTGCTCTGCTCGTACACATGGGCCCAGGATGCGCAGCAGATGGCCTCGTTGGTGCAGGGAGATCCAGACAAACTCGCACGACTACTCCGCCACAACCTCGCTCTCCTCCATAAGGATTACATGGATGGAGTCCACGGGCGAGTGTTTGGATACGACAAGATGCTCCGCATCATCGAAGATGAGTACGAGGACCTCCATGCGTACGACTGGTACGCAGACCCTCATGCCTCGGGGGCCTTTGCCTACTTTGGCCCCGAGCAGTTTCGCTATTTCTACCCAGAGCTCGTCCGGCCCGCAGCCCATGGACACATGTTTCTGGTCGGCGAGGCGTGCAGCGCCCATCATGCGTGGATCTCGGGGTCCCTGGATAGCGCGTACAGAGGGTTGGTGCCGTACCTCCATAAGCTCATCGCCGAGGGCCGCGTGGAAGCCCATGTTCTGAACAAGTTACAGACGGTGTGGGGGGGGGCTGCAGGAGATTCCGGCCGATGTCTTGGAGTGGCAGATGTACTTGACCACTTGGCCGTAGATGAGGTATATAGTCTATACAAAGGTTTTTATCTACTGTTGCTCCATGGTTAGGGTAGGGATTTATAACTAAAAGCTTAGCATTACAGGAAAGAAAGAGATATGAGCCCCATGTTGAATCATAGCTATCTTCATGGTTTCACCACTTGGACAGGAAGCCGCCGTCAATCGGCAGACAGATGCCCGTCACATACGACGCCGCCGGCGAGGCGAGCCAGAGTGAGCCCTGCGCCACCTCGTGTGCATGGCCGAACCGGCTCAGGCTGCTCACCTTGGGCGCGAACTCGTCGGGCGTCGTGCCCATGATCTCCAGTCCCTTGGCAAGCAACTCGCTCTGGTGGTGAACCAAACCCCGTTAGCCACCGGACAGGAATAAGTCAGGGATTCCAAGAGGACGTACAACAATCGCCCCCGGCGCGACGGCGTTCACCCGAATGCCCACCGGACCGCCCTCTGCAGCGGCGTGCTTGGTGAGCCCCAGCAAGGCGTGCTTCGCAGCAGTGTAGGCCGGCATGTTCGGCTGCGGCATGTAGGCGTTGACGGAGGCGATGTTGACAATCGCTCCGCCGGGCGGGGACTGCGCGCGCATCTGCTGCATCTCATATTTACAGCACAGCGCCGTGCCAGTCAGGTTCACGTCGAGCAGCCGGCGCCAGTACGCTTCGTCAAACTCCAGCAGCGCCGTCCTGTCCGGCGTGAGGCCGGCGTTGTTGACGGCCACGTCCAACCTGCCAAACACGCGCACCGCCTCGGCGACCAGATCCTGCACCTCCTCCGATTTGGAGATGTCCGTCGCGACAAAGTGCACCGGGCCCAGCAGCGCCAGCTCCTGGGAAACTTCCTCTCCGAGCCTGGCCTGGATATCGGCCAGCACGACCTTGGCCCCTGCCCGCAGGAACACCTCGGCGGTGGCGAGGCCCATGCCCTGAGCCGCGCCGGTGACGATCGCCACTTTATCTTGGAGAACAGGGAAGATGGGAGCTGCGTCGGTGGCCATGATTGATAGGAGTAGGCACTGTTCGCGGGGTGTCTATAGGAGAAAGGAAGAGGGACAGCTCATAGACCAGGTAGAAATAGGATTAAATAGCAGTTAGCTTATGGCTGCCTTATCAGCAATGCGGTTAATCCTTTATGCTATTAATCCTCTGTGGTTTAAAATAGAGCGGGGAGCGTAGCCAGTGCGGCGGCTACAGTGCTGCTAGAGTATGCATTAAAACAGTATAAAACATTGCATATTTATTAAGCTGAGCCTCTGTAATGATAAATAATTATATCCCACTTTACTGAATTTCTCTAAATGTTCTTATAAGATAGAAGCTATGGATATAAGATTAAGCTCAAATATATGTAATAGATAGACTCCTGTTTGTAGTCTATATATTCATCGATGAACACAAGGAATATATACCATATTTTTCACTCTTACATAAGAATATCTATATTCTTGACTATGTAGTGGCCCAGGCTGTTTAGTAACCACGGTTTACAATAGTTTTTAAAGGTTATATAACAGTTGTGGTTAATTACTAAACTAGAATTAGGTAATAAAATAGTTACTCATCATTTTTAATATTATAACTATTATTTATAGAAGTAAATAATAAATATAATATTCTATTATTATTTAACTATAAGTATATAGCTATTTTAAATAAAAACTTATAATTAACCTATAATTATCTATTATAAAGAAATAAGTACTAATTAGTAGTATAACTAGAAGGGAAGAGTAGCTAATATAAAGAAAAAACTATAAAGTAAAAGATATCTTAAGTAGTATAATTATAAAGAAAAGTAGTCAATATAAAGAAATATTATAAGTAAGAGATATTTTAAGTAATAGAACTATAAAGTAAGAGTAGTAAATATAAAGAGAAATTATAAAATAAAAGATATCTCTAGTACTAGAATCATAAAGTAAGAGTAGTAAAGATAAAGAAAAACTATCTAATAAATATCATCTAGAATAGATATCTCTATTATAAAGAAATCCTAGGTAAATAAAGCACTAGTTTTAAAGATTTAAGATAAAACTTTTTACTTAGTTCTCTTTATCTCTTCTATCTATCCTAATATCTTTAGACTTAACTATAAGTACCTAGGTAAGTATCCCTTTTTAAGACTAACTACATCTATAAGCAGCATGGCCAAGTATAGTGAGAAAGTGCCCCTAAAATAATAATATATTAAGTAATAAGAAGGAGACTAATTTAGAGAGATTTAATTATAAAAAAATAAAAGTAATTAAGGATAATAAGGTAATTAGAATAAAATCTATTATAATACCCTAATTAACTTTTTAAAAGCTATAGTTAAAGATAGAGATATAATAAAGTAAGCTTTACTAAAAATAAAATATAACTTATAACAGCTTTTAAATCTCTTAAATAAGGATAATTAAAAAAACTAGTTATAATCTAAATATATTAAGGACTAGTAGTATAAACTATAGAATAACTACTTAAAAATTATTAAGAAAAGAGAGTAAGGCATTAACCTAATAAAAGTATAGGCTTATATTACTATAAAGTAAGGTAATAAAAATATTAAGTACTCTAAATAAAGGCTTAATAAGTCTAATTAGAATAATACTAATTATTATATAAGCTTTATATTTAATATTAGGATATCTAATAGTAAGTTAAGAGATAGTATATTCTATAATAAAAATTAACTATTAGAGTATAAAGATTCTATTATCTAGATATTAAAAGATCTACTTATTTAGGCACATATCTCTTTAATAATTAATAAACTTAGTAGAGGTATAGTATTATTTAGAATAATAAAAGGTAAGTTGCCTAATAAATATATAATAAAAGACTATTATAGTTAGTTTATATATTATAGAGTAAGATAGTAAAGTAAAGAGGATAATAAGGTCTAGGCTAAAAGAGATAAAGTTAGGCAGGATAAAGGGCATTAGTAAAGAGAATAATAAAAATAAGGATAAAGCTAATAATAAGGCTAATAATAAGTTAATTATTAATATTATAATAACTAACCTTAAGGATTACTTAAAGAAGATTAGGATTAAGTTAATAAAGAGGTGGTAAGACGACTACCTTAAACTATTAAAATAGCTTAAATTAAGTAAGGGCTTAGATATTTTTAATTAAAATAATCTATTTTAAAAGTATATTCTAATTATTAAAGCACTTTAGTACTATATAAGGTAGATATTATATAATTAATATAATATAATAGACTTTTTTAAGCTTAATAATAAGGCTGACATATCTTAAGAGGTCTTAAAGAAGAATAAAGATAAAGTATTAGCCTAAAATACTAACATCTTTAACCTAGAATAGTATACTATATAGATTAATCTAGAGGAATTAAAGGTAGTGATTAAAGAGGAGTACTTAATTAAGCTAATTATCTCTACTACTAAATTATTAGCTTAGTTTTAGAAATCCTAATTATAGTTTAATAATAAGGATTATTAAAGAGATAATTATACTAAGGTATATAAGGCCCTTAATATTAATAACCCTTAGCACCTACACCTAAAAAGTATAATTAGATCTATAATATTTAAGTTCTAGTAGCCTATTACTATTAATTATATTACTAAAATTAAGAAGAAGAGCTTTTTAAGGGGAGTAATCCTAAGTAACTCTATTAGACTAGAAAAAATATAGGAGATAATTAGTTTCCTACTTTATATAAGTTTAATTAATTATACCCCTAGAGACATCTAGAAATAGGTACTTAATCTATTTCCTATCTACCTATAGGTCAACT